GTGTTACTCACTGCAACCTACAGGGTATAATATCATTCTTGCCCATCGAGACAACGTATTCCATACCTCGATCGCTTGTTGATGCATTAGTGAGCCGCACGGCCATAGTTCGCGACCATCTATATATACGAGGTGCGACAGAGTCTGCTCAATGATAACTAACCGCCTGTCTTTCTACCTTGTTGGTTGGCCTCTGTCTCTCGAGGGGAGCCAGGTGTAGTGACATAGAGTAAGTAACCGCACACGGCGCAGATCTTGTTGCATGCAGACAGCTCCCACCCCAAACTCAGTGACATTTCATTAATTCTCCCGATGTTTCTTCCCACTTCTTGCTGTAAGGTGGTGGAGGTTGATGGCTCTCTCTCCCGCTTTTCTTCCTCCCTCGACAGCCAAACGGTGCATAGTGCATATGCACGCACGGCTTACTCTTACCCCGTTTCGATACCACGCCTGTCGTATAGTTGGGTCCAGGAATGTGTTCGAGATTCGTACTTGGTACACGCCAGACAGCCATGCCAGAGCATTCCAGGGGCCGGGCACATGAAGGTTCCCCCGAGATGGCATCCGGATGCAAGTCGACGCTCCCCGACGCATCATACAGGAGGTCGTGGCTCTCCCCTCATGCACCGGTAATCAGGGGTCGCTGTTGAATCTCCGCATGATCTGCAAAATTAAACAATTGCTAAAAGCGTAAAATGTTCAATCGCGCCATCTTCCATCCGGTAGACTGAGTTGGGGCAGAAATGCGAGACTTTAATTAGTTAATCACGCCCGATGACGTGCATCTTGCCCTGTCTAGGGTCTAGGTTGCTTCACGGTGTTTTCGTTATTATTGATATCCCTCTTTCTTTTTCTTTTAGTTTTTTTTTTTTTTTCTTTTGCCTGCTTCACTTTTAACGAAGACCTAGCTCGCTAGCTGGCAGCCCTCTCTCCCAGCTCGCTCACTGTGGATCTTGCATCCGCCGGGCCGTCGTGGGAGGTTCGTGAAGATTGAGACCTCTCCTGTGCCCCACATGGCGTGCTGAAGAATGGACATTTCTCGGGAATAAGGAAGCCTCGAGAAAAAAAAAATTCAATTGCGGCACATAACTGAACAAGAAGAAAAGAGGGTATTTCAGTTATGATAGACGAAATCGAAATGGCCGGTTTACCTGGAGGAAGCAACACAGGATGCGAGGTACATAGAGTTGCATCAGTCTGACCGATACATATTTCCGGATGTACGGACTTGACCACCTCATCCATCATAAACGAGTCCTTCTCGTAGCAACGAACTTGGACAGTCAATCGATGTATGCCCTAGTTATATGCGTCGTTGTAAGGGCTATATTCACTATTGCATAAACGTAACTTTACGTCATCCCTTCCAACTCCCTTCTTGTCCGCCATCAAGCGAGGCCAAACCGCTGCATTCCTTACTTATACGAGTCATTCCTCCAACCCTGTTCTGCACAAGAAGAGGGCAAGCAAGCCCTGGTATTTCGAGAACAGACTGCATATGTTGACAGGTGAATCCTTTGGCTGACATTAAATTGACAGACATCCCCTGGGGAGGTTTTATTCAGGTATGAGAAGAAGTGTATAAGCAGGTGGGTTGAAAGTTGCTGTCCTTCGACGTACATCTCCTGAAAAGCTTAGCTGGCGCCAATCCTCGGCGGTTGACTGCAGAACTAGCCTTGCTCAGACATCAAACAACTGAATATGAATTGGAATCTGGGGTACCACCCTGAACTGCCGATGCATGTATGCAAATGGGACGCTCCCCCATGCCCTCCGCCGGGGTTGTGTATTCAGATCGTCAGAGTGGCCGGCATTGTTGAAGCTATGACATAACTACCAATAAATGTTTCAGCAGGATCTGGTCAGTGAGGCGTATCAAACGATACGGATGTGGGAGACGGTACATTTGGATATCGGCACTTCTATCCAGTAATCCTGCAACGGATGAATGACTCGGGATGGTCTTTCCCCATTCCCATGCAGAGCCCTTGTGAAGTTATTCAGATGAAAAGAGGGTGACATCTCCTCTTTTATATGGCTAAATGAGTTGGTTATCAAGCAGCCCAGTTCCGTTTCCAGCTAGTGTAGATGTGATAATAGGAGAGTCTTGGTAAGGTGTGGCATCTAACAACACCAAGATACCGGAGTATTTTTGACGTCTTACCATTAAGTGTTTAAGTGTATGCCTCGGTGCACGCCTGAAGGGGTAGGCTTTGATATCTGGTGGCACGCGTAGTCAAACGCGATGTTGGTATATTGATTTCTTCCTTCAACCCGGTTGACACATCAGAATCGAGCAGAGGAGACATGAACATTCTGTGCCTCATCAACTATCCAAAAGAATTAACACGAGGTTTAACCAGGCCTAGAGTCAGCAAAGTTCCTGGCATATCTACTCTCCCATTAACCCGTAGCGAGCTTGGGACGACTGCTGCCGCCGTCGATCAATCTCCACAAGGCTGGTCCGTGGACTGTGTCTTTTGGTATAAGGGGATCAACAGGCTGTATGGGATTGTCTTCTTCTAAGCCTGTTATTAGCTTATTGCCCGTCTCTAGACCTAGGTGCAAGCTGAGCAGGACCAGAGCGATCCCCTGTTAATACACCGTTCATCTGCAAGGATATATAGGTATATATCTCAAGGTGTTTTTCCAGGACTGGCTGTCAGTACACAGAACATACCCCTTTATCACCAACCGTAGAGTCCTAGATAACATCAGTTGGATAGTATCGATACTTTTAGTGAACTGTACATATTCTCCATACTATCTCTACCTTGATAAATTCAGGTAGGTTGACAGATGGGGCTGCCCAACCTCTATGCGGATAATCGTTGTGCCGTATCTATATATGGATGGATCCATCCAGGATTTTTTTTGACCTCCGTCCATCCACTTGGCTAGGTCGATGATAGATATAACACAAGGGCCAGAGTCATAGAGATCGCGATGAAGGCCTTCCGGCGAGCAATTCCTGCTCTACGGTCGTTTCACCCCAGCCGGGGCCTGCAGGTGCAGCAAGGACTGCATCGATATGTCCGGCTCGTCCACTCATCCACCACCAAAGCCGCCGTTGCGCACCCGGTGAATGTCTCTGGGCCTCCGCCAAAGCCGCCAGGGTCAACGGCGAGTCCGCTGAGGAAGAGGTTCTGGAAGGATGTACACGTCAAGGAAGCTGCTGGTAGACATCCAATTGACGCCTTGTTTTGCCAATCTTGACAGCAATTGACACCTGCTCTACATAGGAGGCCATCAGATATACCTGGACAGCCGGCCGGTTCGAACGCCAGAGAAGAAGATATTAACAGTGCCCTCTTCGAAACCGCATCTCGCGCATGCTATAGCTCTGGAGTGGGATCTACTTAGGACAGCACAGCATGCAACCAAGTACCATCTTATCCCGATGACATCTATCACCGGCCGGGCCGAAGACATTGCAGCCGAAGACGCAAAGGGAGTCACCACGATACGAGACGAGATAACTCGCGTGATGCTACGGTATCTTGAGACTGACACACTGCTCAGTTGGGCCCCCGAGAAAGAACCAGACTACGTCGGACGAAGCAAAGAGAAGCGCGAGACATTGCGGGAGAAGCAGATCTTGGGCAGCCCAGGCTCTAGCTGAGCGCGAGAGAGAAGTTTGGCCAGGCGTGGAGCTCAAGCCTACCCTTGACGCCAACAGCATCATGCCATTACCTCAGCCACAGCAGACAGTTGATGTTATTCGAGGGTGGCTGTCGAGTCTTTCGCCGTACGACCTTGCGGGCGTGGAGCGAGCAGGAATAGCTACGAAGAGTCTGCTGGTGGGTGCCCGGGTGGTGAGTGAATGGAGCGAGAATTTCCGCCATCTCAGACCCGGCGGTGCAAGCAGAACATTTGGCATCGAAGAGGCCGCACATGCGTCGAGCCTGGAGGTCAGATGGCAGATCGAAAACTGGGGAGAAGTCGAGGATACGCATGATGTGGAGAGGGAGGACCTGCGCCGACAGCTGGGGAGCGTGATCCTGCTGGTGAGCGGCTGTTCTTCTTAATAGATTGCTTGGTTGGTTTTTCTCGTTTTGTCTACATTTGTATCTGCATCTATATCCTGTACGAGTAGAAAGCCCATATCTATCATATATACCCGGAACCTGATTTCCCTGAGAGGTCCCGCCTCCACAGCGGCCGCGTCATGGCAGCCGGCCTGTTCCTGTCAGATGTGACGGAAACCTGGAGACGTTGCCGGAAGGGCGTAGAGCAGGCCCTCCTGTCAACCTGTACTCCGTAGACCACCTGCATGTCCGATGGCTCTCCCTGCACCGCCGAGCTGCGTAACTAAAGCTGCGATGATGCAACGCGGCGAGCGTTTCGCTGCCAAGGCCAGAGGTGAAAAAAAAAAAACATCGTTTGGCGGCCGCTAGTTAGCTAAACTAAGGGCGAGCCAGCGACGACGACGACGACGACGACGACGGACGCAGCAGACAGCCAGCCAGCGACGAGGAGACAGAGATGAAACGCAGGAGAGCTTGAGTGCTCCACGGAAAACTGCTTCGGCGTCGTCTATATATACTCGACACTGCCTGCCTCCTTGCCACGCCGGCGTCCCCCACTTCCAACTCTCCAGCGCCCTCTCCTTCACCTCGTCTCTCCGATGATACGCAGCAGCAACTGACCAAGTTCGACCTCAAAGCCATCGCCAGCCTCTTGCCCTACCGGTCTAGCATCCTCGAAGCACTCAGAAACCGACGTCTGGAGAGACATCTTAGCGAACAACACCTTAAACGGCTGCCAACACGGACAGGTCGGGGCCATGGTGGACAAGACGGAAGGGTAAGCCACCTTGCTTCTGATACCCCCTTTCACTGCTATCTGGCAGTGTCAAATACATTCTTGCCCGTCCTTTTTTCCGCTGGACACTTGCTAATCACTGCATCTCGTTACGTTACCTTTTCTACCTATCCCAATTAGCTTTCCAGGGCTATGGATCTGGGATGGTGGTAGTTGTTTTTTTTTTTTTTTTTTTTTTGCATCTGGCTCCGTTGGTATTTAGCTAATCAGCTCGCACATGTATACAGACACAAACGCTCAAAGAGCGCTCTTGCACTCTCCATCCTTCATCGAGACAAATCAAAAAGTGACGATAACAAGGAGGACGGCGCTACATCCCCTAACAATGGTTCTCCTGTTTCTTCGTCTTCTTCCTCGCCTCGAGAATCCCGCCACTCGCATTCAGCATCCATGATTAGTCTGCGGTCTTCAAAGCGCAAGGCAGCGCAAGACAACGGTGGTAATAACACTACAAATATTGGCAACTGCCCTGAAATTCCAGAGGGCAGTGTCCAGGAAGAGATGGAAGAGTCTCGCCCGCGTCATTCTACCGCTGAAGCTGGCCATGATAGTAGTAGTATCAGTTTGGATCAGAGCGTGCGGACATTCAGGCTGTTTGAAGTCCTGCGGAGTGGAGATACCAATGCCATTACTAAGGCTGTCAAAGAATATCAGGAATCAAGCGGCCAAGAGGGCGCTACCCTCGGCACAAGCATTCTACACTTGGCCATCCAGTGTGCAGACCCTCAAGTTGTTGAATTTGTACTAGCCTCCGTGGACGATGCAGGAATCAACGCTCGTGACCGCGAAGGCAATACTCCTCTTCACCTTGCTGCGCAGTTAGGCAGACTACCTGTAGTTCGAGAGTTGTTGGAACGCCCTGCCATTAACGACGCTGCGACCAATTTTCAAGGGCAGACACCACTTGATCTTGCTCGTAACCCCGACATCTTCCAGCATCTTCAACTCGCTCGGTCTTTGTTCGTTGACACCAAGACCAGAGAAATACAGTCTTTGGTCGGCCAGGAGGATTATGAAAAACTAGAACGGGTCCTTGTTGAGCCTCGAGTCCAAGGGATGGTTGACATGAATGCCCCTGAGCTTGTCACAGACCGCACCACCTATCTGTCTGGTGGTACACTGCTGCATGAAGCCGTACGAAAGAAGGACACAAAATTGATCCAGGTTCTTCTCATGCATGGCGCTGACCCTTTCCGCAGAGATAGAAAGGGTAAGCTCCCCCAAGACATTACCAAGGATGACCGAATACGCTCGTTTGTGAAGAAGTCACCCGCAGCGGTCATGGCTCAGCGTGGAATACAAGAAAAGGCTATTCTGGGGAACAACTTCGCCCAGGGATCCGGTGAGGTTTTCATCGGAGGAAAAGACGCGAGGGAGATCAAAGGATATTTGAAGAAGTGGACAAATTATACAACTGGCTATAAGCTACGCTGGTTTGTTCTAGAGGACGGTGTCCTCAGCTACTATAAACACCAGGGTACGTTCTCTTTTGTTTTTAAAAAAAAAGAGATCATGTGATGAAACTTGGATGCTAATAGTATATATTCAGATGATGCCGGTTCTGCCTGCCGTGGTGCAATCAACATGCGTATTGCAAAACTGAACATGGACGCCCAGGATAAGACGAGGTTTGAAATCCTGGGGAAGTCCTCAGTCAAATATCACCTCAAAGCAAACCACGTTGTCGAAGCAAAACGTTGGTTCTGGGCGCTTAATAATGCCATCCAGTGGGCGAAGGATGAAGCAAAAGAAAGTGACAAACGACGGACAAAGGATGTTGAGGTGCTTCGACAGGCCAGGATGGAACAGATCGAGAGGCAGGACCAGGATACCATGAGCACGGCTGGGAGTAAGCTGAATGATAAAACCCTCGCGCCTCCTGCAGCGTCCTTTGGTAGCACCACTACTCCCAGCGGATCGAAGTTGAGCCTACAAATTTCTCGAGGTGGAACAGATAATGGTTTCGGAGACGATGAGGGCTCAGTCACCGGGGTCAACGACCTTAGTACTTCACAGTCCAACATGGCCAGAGTGATTAGCCATGTGACCACTAACACGGCTGAAGGTGATGGTGAAGATGACTATGCTGATTACACAAGCAGTCGTGAAATACGACCAGCTTCAGACAAAGATGCCTTTAGCATTACGGCACAGTCTGTTCGCCTCCAACTAGATATTCTACGTGGTGTTTCCTCGGCTATAAATGCCGAAAAGGCAAAGAATCCATCAGTGACATTGTCCGATCCTACCATTGCCCAGGGTTTAACGACTTATGGAAGAGCAGTTGATACTCTAAACTCACTAATTGTCGATTTACTCAAAATCAGCAGAGACAGGGACGCTTACTGGCAATACCGTTTGGACCGAGAGGCGGATGCTAGAAAGATGTGGGAAGATAGCATGGCTCGAGTTGCGCGGGAACACGAGGACCTGCAGAACAGAATGGGTGAAAGTGAAGATAAACGACGCCGAACAAAGAAGGCCCTAAGAGAAGCATTAGAAAACGTTTCAGTGCCACAAAGCCGAAGGCTAAGCCAAACTGTTCCCCCGTCACAGGTGTGGACCTCGGATGCTGTAGCAGTGGTCCAGGAAAGCAAAGCAGAGAAACAGCCCGAACAGACTGAAGAAGCCCCGTCTCCTGGATTATTACGTAAGAAGACAGTGCTAGAGGAAATGAATCTGTCTGATAGTGATTCGGACGATGAAGAAGAGTTCTTCGACGCCATAGATGCTGGCGACGTTGAAGTTGTCGTTCCAACGAAAGAAGAAAAAATACAGCTTGACGAATCTAGTGCTCGGGCGAAGAAGGAATCAGAAATTGCACCTTCGTTCAAAGGATATGAGGATGAAATCAGAAAACGGCTTAAAATGGAGGCTGATGATCGCCCGAAAGTTTCTCTATGGGTAAGACCCGTGTTCCTGCTGCCTGAAATAGTTTGTGAGCCTTAATCTAACACTTGCGCCTATAGGGTATCCTGAAATCTATGATTGGAAAGGACATGACTAAGATGACTCTTCCCGTGTCATTCAACGAGCCAACATCCCTTCTCCAGCGCGTTGCCGAGGACATGGAATACACTGATCTTATCGATACTGCTGCCGACCGCCCAGATTCCCTGGAGAGAATGGTTTATGTGGCTGCATTTGCTGCCAGTGAATATGCCTCGACTATCGGGCGGGTTGCAAAGCCATTCAATCCTCTCTTGGGTGAAACTTATGAATATGCCCGACCTGACAAGGGATATCGCTTCTTCGTTGAGCAGGTTAGCCATCATCCACCTATCGGTGCGGCCTACGCCGAGTCACCTAGATGGGATTACTATGTAAGTATCAACTTTCTTATTATCATCTTTATATTTATCTATTTAATTTTATTTACATCATGAATGTTGAAAATACTGATCATTTTTCTCTAGGGTGAATCTGCTGTGAAATCCAAGTTCTACGGTAAATCATTCGACATCAATCCTCTGGGAACGTGGTTTTTGCGACTCCGGCCCGCCTCCGGGGGTGAAGAGTTATATACCTGGAAAAAAGTCACCTCTTCTGTCATTGGTATAATTACAGGAAATCCCACTGTTGACAATTATGGTCCCATGGTCATAAAGAACTGGACTACGGGAGAAGTGTGCAATCTTGATTTCAAACCTAGAGGCTGGACGGCGGCTTCCGCCTATCATGTATCCGGCAAGGTCCTGGACAAGGATGGTGTGCCACACTGGAGTGTTGGAGGCAGATGGAACGACAAAATTTATGCACGAAAGCTCAGTCACGGTGCCTCCCTCTCAGCCTCTGAGATCACCCCAGACGGGAACTCTCCTCATGCCATGCTTATATGGCAAAGCAACCCCAGGCCCACTGGCATACCGTTTAACCTAACTCCTTTCGTCGTCACGCTGAATGCTATCCCCGATAATCTAAAACCTCATCTCCCTCCCACCGACACCAGATTACGACCCGACCAGCGTGCCATGGAAGACGGCGAGTACGATTTTGCTGCCACTGAAAAACATAGGGTCGAGGAAAAACAGCGAGCAAAGAGGAGAGACCGAGAATCGAAAGGCGAAGAGTATCAACCTAAGTGGTTTTCAAAAGGTGTCTGCGACACCACAGGTGAAGAGTACTGGGTGTATAACGGCAGCTATTGGAAGTCTAGAGCTGCGGGAGACTGGAGTGTTTGTGAAGATATTTTCTAAGGTCCGCACTTGTATTCTATATAATGCCTAATCGTTGATTTGCTGTAGTCATTATCCTTTTATTAAACCGGTTTATCATTATGATTGCGATATAGACTGTTCAATGCATTAGACCAGCGTGATATTAAGTAGGTAGGTATGCAGCCATCTAATTGGAAAGTTGGTCGTATCACGTGATACATTGCTCCCTGAAGCTTTGGATATCCGTAAATCGAACAAAAAGTATTTACACAATCGCAGAGCGTTTATCAAATACCACCGCCACTTCCAATGGCGACCGAAGTTGCTTGTCGAAGGTGCCTGCAAGCACTTGGTCTAGGTATTCGCCGAAATGGGGCGACGTCGGGACCAAAGCTGAGGCAGCTCGCTCGCCTCGGTCACAGTTATCAAACTTATTCCACGCCGTCTCGAAAGAATATTTCTCCACAGCAGCAAGGACAATTAAGATTGAATGGTTGCAGGAGCCAGATAAGAGGGACAGCCTCCCTAGCTACGTCCCAGGAAGCCTCTGCTAGTGAACAATCGGAACCGAAACAGCCACTCTTGCAACGGGACAATCTCTTCCATTCATACAGCAATTCCCCTTCGCCCCAGATAAGAAAACGAGCGCAATTTATCAAGCAACATGCCTTCTGCCCGCATCCAGATCATCAGCAAACCCGCGCCTCGGTCTCTCCGGCAAGCTCCGAAGCTGAAAAGCCAGGCATCCCTAACGAGCAGAAACAGCCTCCTGCTCATGCTCAACATGAGTGCCCGGACTGTGGTGTTCCAGTATATTGCTCCGAAGAACATTGGATAGATGACTTTGAGGCACATTTACAGGTCTGCGAGACTATTCGACAGATAAATGAAGATGACCATGACTTGCAATCTGGACGTTTCTTCACGGAATTTGACTATCCTGGCTACCAGGCGGATGAGATTGTGGTAAACATGACAAATTGGGATACTTTCCTGTACACCAGGGAGTTCGAGGCTGTCAACGACGATAGGAGCATGCGCCAGGTTACTAGGCTTCTTACCTACCCGGTCACAATTGCAAGTGTACTACATGAACTCAGCCCTTACAACATTTCAAAGGGTGGAAGACTAACCCCAGAAGGATTGAAGAGTTTTAGTGGTGAGTTATTGGCCTTCTTTGATTACAGTTGTAGTCTAAGCTACGGGAGTTCTTCTAACTTGAGAATTCAGCTCTACGTTATACCCTACACCCGCCAAGGGCAGGCGAGGGAAGCACTATGAAGGGACTGCGGTTAAAAGCTCCCCCAGTCCGAATCTTCGTACTAGGTGCGCGTGCAGAGTCTTCCTTACCGCGGGAAGTCTGGATGCAGATTTCACACCTCTTTCCTCGTGCCACTATCAATCTGATCTTCATTGGACCTGAGAGCATGGCAAACCGTGATGATGAGTTCCCGCTCCCAGAACGAACTGCAAGCAATCCTTTCGGCGGAATTGTTGAAGACCGCCTCGGTCCTCAGATGAAAATTACTACCTATGTCGATTATTTCCATACCATGCACAAGGCTAACATGTTTGCACCCTATGACCCATATTTTGACTGCTTCATGCTCTTTCATCCTGGTTTAGGACATCCAGCCAGTTCCCATGAGTGGGAGGAGACTCTTCCATGCCTGTTGGAGACTAAAGTTCCTATTATATGCACTGGCTACACCCAGAGTGACATGGAGAGAGATCTGAACTGGGTGAAAAAAAAATGCGGTGGTGAAGCAGACATCCTTCTTGAGCAAGGGGAGAACAGATTCCGAAGCTTGAGATGGGACCTAAATGACCTAGATCCTCATGATGTGTCCTGTGGCAACTGGGGAGTATGGGCTTTCAGAGGAAAGAGATATGAGGCCACTTTCAAAGATTCTTGATTCTTGTATGATACTTAGCACTTTACCTTGTTTAGGATCTTCACTCACCAATATCCTATAATTATTTTTATATGTACTATTTTCACTAAAACGATTAGCAAAGTGTCAAATAATTGATCCTAAGTTGAAGAAAGTGAGTCCACACCAAGGCTCAGTAGGTTAAAGCTGTATATTTGGCCTTTAAGTCAGTGAATATAGTTATCTATTTCATAAGTATATATGTACAGTGTGACATTAGATAGGCAGTATAAACACTATGAACAGCTCAAGAGGTAACACTAGCAACAAGCTACCCAATATATGTAAAAGAAGTGATGGGGTATCAAATTCAAACACTAATAGGGAAAAGAAAGGAAATTGCAAAGGCACAGGTGACCCTCTAGGAACTCTAGCGAGGGGAAAAACGCCCTGGTGTATCCTGATGTTTCGTCTATAGTAGAAGGACGGCGGAAAAGACCATAAAAATCATGGGCCAGTAGCCACTGATTCTGAGCATTCTTGGAGGTGCCATGGACTCTGTTTGAGGATTGTCATCCGGTGCAGTGGTTCCATTCTCTAAGGTGCCGTTGATAAAAATGGACGTCGTACCATTGGCCTCTGCAACTCTAACGATTGGGGAGGCACTAGTGACGTTGTTAGGGTCGGATTTATCCAGGAGGGTGTCGATATAAGTGTTGTTATTATTGTCTTCGCACCCACAGACGGAGTACTGCTGGCATAGACAGGTAACCGGTAGCATCTGGTTCCTCATGGAGGTTCTGTTGTACCATATGTAAGGCTCCGAATGGTAGTAGGCGTAGACACCAAAAAGCCAAAGCCCAGGGAAAAATGCGAGCGCAGTTAGAGGGAGAAAAGACGGGCTGCGCCCCAGGGGTGATCTACCACCAGCCTTGAATGGCACTCTGGCTCCGCCGCCGTAAAATCCGCCGAAGCTGCGAGGAGTGCCTGATCCAAAGGGAGATGTACCACCAGCATTGCTAGGCAGGGTTGTCGGTTAGCCCGCTGTTCTACCCTTTGGGTGACCAAGTGAGTAACATGAGGGTGCTTACGCTGGCCTTGGGGGATATGCACCACCTCCGCCGGGGCGCGGGCGCCCTCCGCTTCCAGAGCTGCCGCCGCCAGAACGCCCACCTCCGCTCCGCCCACCACCTCCGCCGCCGCGGCCTCCGCCTCCTCCGCCCTTACGCTTCTCTAAGTCGACAGCGTGTTTGAAACCCTCAGTAACAGAAGGATACTCTAGCTCCTTGACAGTCGCAAGATCTGTGATTTGGAGGATACTTCGCGACACTACATTGGAAGATAGCAGCAGCAAAGACAGCGCAAGACCCACAGAGAACTTCATTGGGGCAGCAAAGACACTCAAAGGAGTAAGAAGAAACTAAATGGAATAGATAAAGGTGCCTCTTGATGTTTGACTAAATGATATGTGAAACTCGTGGGAGCATGAGTAAGTAGAGTAGGTAGGCAACTACGTTCTCAGTTATATACCTAAATCCTAGAAACAAGCACTGCCTCGTCGAACTCTACCTTGTCGTTCTCCCTCATCTTAACTCTCACGGACCGGGTTTCTTCCATGGCCTTGGCTCATTTCTTGTTAGCCAGTTAGCTAATTAACTGACTGCATGGCATCGCCACGATCCCGCGGCGTTTTAGTTGACTTGGTGAGTTCACAAGTGAGTCTAGAAGATGAGCCCTGGTTTGGTTCACTCGTTTATCCAGCAAGGTTATCCACCCTGCAGAATATAACACACGGCCGCAGTGAGGCTCTGCTTGGGATGGTCATGCCTATGTCAGTCCGTGAAACAAGGCTCTTCTTCAAAAGGGGGCTTTGCCCTTTGCACAGGAGATGGCGATGATGACTAAACTGACCCGATCTTTCCCCCGGTCCGCTCTGACACGGAGATGGCAAACAGCCCCCTTCGCCCACACCACCTCATCGCGTATGCATCCGGGTGTGTCAACAGCCAGGCGCCGAGCTAGCCGCCGTCCCCTGCTGGCCGCTGCTCGAGATATTACTTACTTACATGCTGCTCCGTACTGCAGGTCGAAGGTTCGATGTTGGTCTGTCATGACTAATACATTTATGGATTACATAATCACTTGGCGGCTTAAAAGGTTAAACCCAAAAAAAAATATATATACAAATAAAGATTAGAAATTTCTTATTTTTGACCTCAAGCAAAAACGACGACGACGAAGGGGAGAAACATTATTAGCGAACAGACTGCGTTTGCGCTGGCACAGCCTGCTTGGGACTCTGCCTGATGATGATGCTAACTGTATAGGACCCAACCTAACGCCCCGCATATTGGCAATCCGTACGAACGCTTTGACAATGCGTTGCTGTTCCTCTCTCCAGTCTCGATTCTTCTTCGTAAACGATCCTATCAAACACCGACTCTTCTCACCGCAATCCTCAAGCCCAACTGTCCCACCCGATATAGGAAGATCCACGGACTTTCGTTATGAAGACGGCCCGCATCTTGTCACGTCTTGTGTCAGTGCATGGCTGGAGTTGGGTCTCCCGAGATGGTTTGAGAGAGACACTTTGCCTGTCTTTTCGCGACAATTCTCAGATTGCAACATCAAGTTTACAAACAGGGCCTTCATAGTTCATGCTGTTCTCTGTTCCCAGTCGGGAGATTTTCCACAGAGAGCATGACTCCTTGCGCACCTACATATCTGTATTTATGATTCTTATGTCTGCCCAAACTATCTAGATGCCTTGTCTGTATCGGCTGCCAGCTAGTTCAGAGTTTACTAGGTTGGCCTGCACCCTCATCCTCGGGAATCTGTGCAACGACCTTACCCCAAGTTTGCCGCCCTTCAAGCGCCCGCAGTGCGTTGGGAACAGACTCTAAGCCAACAAACCTCTCATCGGTGAAGCTAGTGCCCTTGAACTTGCCCTCTTTGATTAGGTCAAATATCCCGTTCCACACGTATTGCACCGTCTCTTTCTCAAAGGAGGCATACTGACCCCAATGCAAGCCGACGATGCTCACATTTTTCAATAACACCCTGTTGAGAGCAACCTTCTCGATCTGTCCAGCCGCAAACCCGATGACCAGGAGTCGAGCATTCCATGCGACGCATTTCAGGCTCTGCTCAATCATACCGACTGGATCGCACACAATATCCACACCAGCCTTGCCGTTTCCGCTCCTGTTCTCAGCACATAGTTTCTTTACCGCATCGGGCCAATTTGGGTCTCTGTAGTCAATCGTATAATCGGCTCCAAAGCCCCGCGCTATTTGTCTCTTTCTCTCAGTGCCTGCCGTCGCGATTACCGTAGCTCCTTTAGCCTTGGCTACTTGAACTGCGGCGAGTCCTACACCGCCGGCCGCGGCATGGACAAGGACCCAATCTCCCTTCTGTACGTTTGCCCTGTAGACTAGCCCACCGTACGAGGTAGGAGCTGTAACAAATAGACCTGCGGCATCTTCAAAGCTCCAACCTTGTGGTATTGGGAATAGCGAGGCTTCTCCAGTGAGGATATGGGTGGCATATGCGCCCTGAGTGGCACCAAACACTCGATCCCCAACGCCAAATCGAGGATTCTTGCTGGCCGTGGGGGTGCTGAGGACAACTCCAGCGAATTCGGTACCCGAAATCCACGGAAGTGGTGGTTGATGCTGGTATTTGCCTCGTATCTGAAGCAGGTCGAAGAAATTGGTTCCTGCGGCATGTATTCTGATCAGGTACTTATCTGGGCTTGGAGGCGGCGTGGGAAGAATCGACACTACCAGGTCCAGCGGACCCTGTTGTGTGGGTTTGTGGTGGTTAGCAAGCTGAGCAAGTCCTGTCATCCTGCATGTACTCGGGTCATACCTTGACGTATTCCTGGACTTGAATCGCGCGCATCCTGGCCGGGGCTTATTGTACGTTATATGCCAGGCCTGCGATATAGCTATATATCTTTGGAATGTCTCCTGCGAATGATAATTAAATATCGTGCATTAACCAAGGAGACGAGGCTGTAGCGGAGGTTTGTTATCGAGACCCGGGGTTGTGCCGAGGTCCACGGCTTTCTGCTTCTCGGCAGACCAACTGTTGTTGGACGACGACCAACGTAGGAGTGGCCTGGTGTTAGGGAAGTGATATTGACTACAGGAAGATGAACGTACCCAACACGGCATGATGCTGTAAGACTGAAGTTGATAGGGGAGACCATGACGCCTAAGACAGCATGACCAGCTCTCCGACTCCGGCCAGCGCCGTGTTGGACGGAGAAGCCTGTATTTGATATCTGTTGCATATAGAGCCCGGGTCGGACAATGCAAATGGGGAAATAGGTGTGGGACGAGCAGGTAATAAACGCACTGGGCGCATATTCGATAGAGTTATACCCTGTGAGTTTCAATTGGCATCTGGAATTTACTCAAAAGGGTACCTAGATATTTAGGTGTGCAAAGCCAAAGGATGCAAGCATATCAAAGAGAAGAGTATCATATCCATAGCTTAATATGGCAATAGGTACCTGCGTAAGCATGAGTTCGATCCCAATGTTCTAGCCTTGAAAAACGAGGGTGAAGCGACTTCTTAGATAAAAGCAGTTCAGCTATCATCTCCAGAGATCTTACATGACCAGTCGATGAAGACGTATTTCACATGTCCAGCAGTGGCCTTTTTTCTTCTCGAGGAGTATCCAGCTCCTAGCATACATCATTTCGTACATGCAGCCATTCACCATAGAGGGCATAGGTGTAGTCAAAAAGAGAGATATGACATCAAACAGGTCAGATAGACAAACAAAGGGGTAAGACATAACGCCCCATATAGACAAACACATTTACCATATTAAAATCCCTGGTCAATTTCCTTCCATAAGTTCGCCCTGACCTGTTTCCCATACCTGTGTGTCATCTAAAAGTGAAAAATGGAGGTGAAACGTAGGAGAAGAGACAGACAAAAAAGATAAAATCACCGTACTCCACGACGAACGACGTAGTCGTCCGTATCAGATAGGAGAAAAAGAAACGTACTGCGCCTTTTCCCAGAACTGAAACCGATAGTTGGGCAAATAATTGTTCCAAGGGACAAGTTATAACAGGCTGATCATTAAGATTAGAGCGAGTGCAGTAGGAACCAGTTTTTATTAAGGAGAGGCAAAAATGGGTATCCAACAACATGCAGTGTAAAGAAAAAGATAAGAAGAAATTTCCCCCCTCTCTTCAAGCTAACATGGTAGGCGCAAGCAGATAATCATTGCCCATGGCATCGGACGGATATGATTGATGGGATGTGAGTCCCATGGAGTCAGTGGAGCCCCCTATAGTAGAAATGTCAAGAGGCCCTGGAGACTCTATTTTTGGATATCCACTGGTTGCATCCAAGGTAGAAGGCGGAGTTACGACAGTGGGGCATGTCGCTGAGGGTGCTAAAGTTTGGGATTTTATGTTTTGACAATCTTGGGCGGGAGAAGTATCTCCTGCACAAGAAAATCGAACTGAGCCTTCTCCACTGGAAGAGGGCCGTTTCCAGGGCTTCATTGAGTATGAGTCTAGAATTTCGCCATCATTCAAAGGAAGGTCCAAAACGGATGGGTATGAGAGGCTTTCCTCGTTGTCCAGATACTCCTTCACATAGTTAACTTGCTGCTCCACGGTGGGGTCATCAAGAGGGTAGATGGTGGGTGAGCATCGCTGGCACATATCAGGGGTAGGATAACTCCATGGGCTAGTGGGCTGGATAGCAGGAGATGGGAGGGTAGACCTTGGGGTGCGAACTGCGTGGTGAGCGCTATCGGGTGATTGCCAGCCGGCCGGAAGGCCACTCGATGCAGCATCGCTTGGGGGTGTGATGTCGCCGGAGGAAGTGGTAAGATTGGGATTGATCCCAGAGAAAGCTAGTGCTGAGCAACTTTCAATGCTTGAAGAGGAGCCATGAGTAGAGCTGGCGTTCGGATAGTGGCGATTCATGGTGTGTGTATGATGATGGTGATGATCAGAATAGCCGACTGGGGACTGGCAAGGGTCTTCAATCAGAGAAACATTTGAGGAAGCGCTCGCGCGGCGGCCATCATAGCATGGGGTGACTTTAATTTGATGCCCACGATCGTGAGAAGGTGCTATTATCCAGCGTACTCGAGAATCCCAGGCCTCAGGGTGAGCTGGTTGCCCAGCGGGAGGAGGGTATCCAATGAATTGAGGAGGATAGTTGTCGTTGACGCGGCTGCGCAGTTCCATTGCTTGTGTTGGTGACAATGATAACGATCCTCCGCGATCAGTAGGGCGGCTTGCAGGCCTCTTCCGTCTCTGCCTTGAGGGCTTGGTGACTCCCCATTTCTTGAGTCTGCTTCGCAGTTGGGTCTCACTACAATTGGGGCCCATTTGTAAGTAAACTTTCTTCTCCATTTGATCATGATTGAAAGATTCATAGATGAACTGGTTAACTGAGGAACAACAAACTTACGTCGGATTGAAGTCTTCAGTACGGATCTTCTTCATGACCTGCTTGAGCGGCCATTCCTCTTCCGTGTATAGGTTTGATATTTGAGATCGCTTGGTTTCCCAAACATCAGACGGGATTGTGGTCTTCATCGCCGGTGAATTTGATCAACCACAAAAGGGACGGATGGCACAACAACCTAAGTCTCAAGTTGTGACGGGCTAGAAAATATAGAACTGGACGACGGGGCCTTTCTCGAGTTATATCTTGCATCGAGAGAGACACAATGATGCAACAGAGGGCGGAAAAAGAAATGTAGAAACGGCGAAGCTATGGAGTACTTGCATACATACAGAGGACTCCGCGGTAAACTAGGAGGAAGCACGCCCAAGTAGGAAAGGAGTAAACCTGTCCTGCGTACGGGAGTACTGGGTTTGTCCTCCAAAACCAAAACAATCCTCGTATCATGGGCATTCCGAAGCTGCGCCAGCCACAGCAGCGGTGCCTTGCTAGCTAGCTCGTTCAAGCTTACTTTGAACAGGGCCTCCAAGTCTTCGCTGGCGTGTATGTATGTATGTGTGTATGTAAGTATGTATGTACCCAACGAAGTGAGGGTACACCGACGTCAGCGACAGCCAGCACCACAAAAGGGCAGACAATGATTTGCCACCAGCAAATTGACAGGGAAGAGTCCAGCATCCAGGGCTTTCTTCAGCGCAATGTGACAGGTCAGTTTATCTCCTGTGTGGCTCGCTGTCGGATCCATCGTAACTTCTATAAATTACCCATGGGCTCACCACACTTGTGTCAATTTTCTTCAGGGGCGCCACAACCACACCTGAACCCCTCCCGATAGACTCCTCTATCCTGGGCCCTCTACGTCTTTGGCGTAACGCGACTGGGTTATTCTGCATGCAACTGCGGAGCGAATCCCTCGCTATTATTTTAAATATACGCGGGTATTGCTTCGTACATGGTTGGGGGAGCGAATAATACCCTCTCCCTGAGCTTCTTACCCGGACTTTCGGGGCATCAGGCGATGAGATTCCAGGCGATTGGTTAATGATTGTTTATCGATACCTGCTGGTTCGATCTGTTGTCCCTCCTCCCGGTAGGGATCTGGCCTGTTGATGCTCGTGAAGGAGGAGCTCGCACTTCAAGGTATCAAGCAATGCCCCGACCATTGCCGACAGGCCGAGAAGGGAAGTCAACAGATCTGTCGCTCGAACAGGGCTTGAATGGAAAGCTCAAATTGGAATCCTATTTCTCAACGATTTTACTCCTCCCCGTTTCGATATTATCGATTATTGATCTTCTCCCTTCAGCCAGCCAGTGATGGTTCCTCAGCTTTGCTAGAAACTCTGGCATCCGGAACAGGTACTTTGCAGGGGATGATCTGCGAGCCACCAGAGAGCCGTGATGTTGTGCCTTGGTCATATCGTGGACCTTTTGATCTGATTATTTTTGCAGGGGTTGGGAACAAGTCTGCCATTTGCATGCTTCCTTCATGGTCCTCAGAGCATGAAGCTTGCAAGGAAGCAAAAAAAAAAAAAAAAAAGTGTGTCTGGAGAGGAGAAAAAGCAAAGGGAATGGAAGCCTGTAGACTTGATGTGAGTTATACACACCCCCGTAAAGGGAAAGGGAAAAGAAAAGAGAGAGAGAAAACTCGAAAAAAAAAAAAATTGTAATAAAAAAGAAAGAGGTGAGTAAGTTGATCAGATCGGCAAGTTAAATTCCAGTGGACCCTTTTGAAGGACCCCCAGAGCTTAAAAAAAGCCCCAAGGGAGATCTTCACAGTTTCTCCATTTATACATGCCTCCAAGAAGCTTCATGACAAGAAGAGGGTTGTCGTTGAAGGTACCTCTGGCTTCAAAGCTTTACCTTCCCGTGCAGTCTCACAGCGGGCATGACCAAAGCAACCACCGGACGGCGTCAAAGCACGATGGCTTGCCTGTAGCGCTCATAAGCAGCATGAAAATAGCTAGCCTGTTCACAAAAGCCGCCAGGAGGAGCTACTGGGGCCGGAACTACAAGAAGCAAGCCCCCTTTGAGTTATCGCCTTGAGCTCTCCTGGAACTGTGCTCTGTAGTGGGTACCGAGGCCGTGGCTTGCGGGTTTGCTTTTGATGACCTGTCCCCGTTGTACGGCGTCGATACAAGTCCTTGCACATGCGAAGAACTGTTCCATTCTCGCTGTAAATAACTACAGTACGTGCAAAGGAAGGAGGAGGAGAATATACTGCGTACACGCCTGTTGTACCCACATTGAGTACTTCGTATGTCTTCCGATAAAAGGGGTAGTGCAATTCGCTGGTCATGGTGCATCATCAGAGAGACATGGGGCCCAGGGCAGAGCTGAACAGCAGCGCGAGGAACATGTCTGGAAGGAAACGTCACTCTTCTCCAGAGTACGAAGTACGTTCCACTAGTTATACTAGTTATGGATACTCGTGGTCACGGAGTCCCTCTTCCTCTCTCCGCGGTGTGCTACCACTGCCATTGGCGACGAGATATATCCATGCCTGGCTTGGCAATCTCCCGGCTGCGATTGTTTGACGACGCTGTCACCCAACCGATGGGCAGCCAAGCGAGGGAGGGGGGGGGAGAGCAAGGTTGGGGATACATGCTTTAGCCCGCCTCTCGAAATCTCACTAATGCGGTGAGATTGTGGCTAGTTCGAGTCCATCATCGAAAGCGAGCCAGGCTAACTAGAGGCAGAGTGTCATTTCGCCGGAAGCATTAGCCGAAGCACTCTTTAAGGCAGCCAAGGGTAATGCGGTTAAAGCGGTTTTTCAATGGCGAGTGTGGTGTACATTGAAAAGGCAAGCCTTTTACTCTGGACACATTGTGCATCAAAGAGCCTCTACTTCGTATATGAGCATAAATGGATTCCAACAGATGCTCAAGTCCGCAGAGCAGAGCTGCAGTTGAAGACCTTCACCTTCGCTATGGGTTAACTGGTTATCTCCCACTCTCTCTCGCCCTCTTTCGCAGGAGCCAGAGAATCTGCAACTGCCCGCGGCCGAAAGAGTGTCAGCCGAGATTCTAGGTTGATCACCCCCATCACACTATGTCAGTAGTAAAACGTATAATCACGAGGGCGGATCGGCTTTCCAATGCGGGTTTATCTGTTTCTCTCCTGAAAGACGGCAGTTACTCCGCAACACGTTTCTCCAGAAGGAAGAAGACCCCCTCTTGTTGTGACCGAGTGGGCTGAAATCACGGGTTAATCACACGGGCAAACAGCCTGGGAGCCGCTTTTGAGCCTGGCATTTCTCGATTCCATCTGACTTGCTCCATAATAAAACAAGTAGTCAGCTATTAGGACATGTTATATTGTGATTATTGTATGGTCATCCCGTCCGTATGGGGCAGTGCGGAGCCGCCCACATAAGTTATTAATTGCATTTGATACCACCGTCATCATCGTTCGATTGAGTTCCTAGCTAGGCGGAAATAGTTGGCGGTCCCTTGTTGATATCATCACTTGTTATGACTATATGACACGGCTAGGCGGCAGCTCTAATATAATATCCGAGCATCATATGACGGGGATCAAAAGGAGCCAATTTCGACAAGCGATGCTAGAGCCAGGAGAGCTGTCAGAAACTCTGCAACACTATCACATCACTGAGACTGGCCACTAGAACTGTCTCAAGATCATGATAGCACCGTTTCGACAGAGCGTACAACGAAGGCTGTGACAGATCGTCGTGATGGACATTCTTCACGAGGCTCTCGCGGCTAGTTACGTGATGTCCTATCCGTTTGGCTGTGGCTGACGAGCAGCCTCCAGACTGCCCGTGTATCCATCGCACAGGCAGGCAGGTGAGAGTATCAAGTATCATGGTAGGGACGAAAGCGTTACTTTGAAGGGCTCCCGCGTCTTAAAAAGCTGTTGTTGTTGCTGCTGCTGCTGCTGCTGCTCGCTATACTCCGTTCTGCACGCTCGCCAGGATGTACTCCATGCGTATCTGAGCCAAAAACGCCCACGGTTCAGGCATCCTCAAGTCCACAAGGCAAAGGGGGCGCTCATAGGGTCCGTTGTGGCCCAAGCAAATGCTTTCCTTTCTTTTCCTCGCTTCATCAAGAAGAGTGACGTTGCAGGCGAAGCCAAAGCCACCCCCGTCTCTGCGCAAAATAGGTGGCCTCACAAACTCGCCCACCACCAGCGGCGTTCTAGAGGCCGTGAGAGAGGCCGGGAGAATCAAGAGGCTGGCTGCTTCTTCCCGCATGCTCCCGCTCTCTCAAGCCATCCTGTTCGCCTTGGGTTGTTCCCAGCACGCAGCATTGAAAATGGCTATCTAAGCGCCACCCTCTGCCTTTTGGCGTTTGGTGGTGCCAATGACTCGCGGACTAGTCAAGCGGAACATATGCACTGCTCGCTTTCGTTAGTTGATATCAAAACGCAGTCGACGGCCCATCACATACCGCCATTCTTGATCGCCCGTGGAGCTGTGAGTTAACTATGTATGCACCGTTCTTGACATGGCGAGGGCCACTGGCTACTTGGGCTGTAACTACGGAAATTATCATGTCTTCCACCGCGGACTAGACTAGGCAGTTATGTGCAGATCCATCCATCGGCCACAGCTCTTCGCCGCTAACCCCGTCTGCCCATTTTTATTTATTATTATTTGCGAAACACCAGGAGAAGGATACAAGGTATGCAGCCATACTGCTACACATGTTCAGCCTCAATAGTGGCGTTTGGAGATGGTTTCTTCTTCAAGAGAACAGGAAGTTCTCCTCCTGGCCTGCGTTGAAACTGGACTGCAGACGCCTGGATGGCTGGGAGCAGCCGGAGGGCCACGGCCACGCTGGACACAAGGACAGAGCTCCAGGACTTTCGCCACCACAAGAAGAGCTCATCTGAGTCACGGCATGTCCTATCTATTATTATTTCATGGCCAGCACCCGATGGAGGTTCTCCGGAAAGCGAGTGTTGTGCCAGCGTTCGCTGTTCTGGCTGCGTTCATGCAGGCGTGCGAGCCATGACTACGTACACTGCAGGCGGCGGACGGAACACTGGATCCCGATATCGCAAGCGGAGCTGTAGCTAGTAATGATCATAATAATATTCAGTATTATTATTATTATCGTTGTTATTATTATTACCACGGAAGACGGTGTGCATCTATCTATGGCATACGTTGGCGGCGACTTGGAAGCAGCTGCGGAATTATATGGACGGCAGCACTCTTATGTGAGCAGCTCTCCTGGACGTGGACTATAGTTACCTGCTTCACATTGAGGGAACATGACTACAATAGTCAACTAGCATACGGAAGACTAGTTGCATCGCTACCTTGACAGAGAACAACACCCCGGATGATTCTTTGCCAATTTTCTTTGCCTTTCCCCCTCGTTCACCCTACGGATTGTCCGGATAAATTTGACATGACATATATATACATTGGAGCCCACCCTGGCTGCATCAATAGCGTACGTGCTCCTGCTCCTACGCGGGAACAGCCGGAGAATGTGTATATACCTTTGAACGCTGGATTTTGTCCGTCATCATGCTGCCGGAATGGATTTCCGGCCGTTCCATTCGTCTCCGTACATTGCATTTAGGATCGACGCCACTACTGCATGGTCCATCAGAGCAACAGCGCAATGTCCAATCCATTCAAGTGTGCGAAGAGAGTACTCTGTTACAGCCAGTAATTCGCTTGCCTCATGTCTTCTCATTCAAGGAGAACCTATGGGGTTTCAGGAATGAGCGACGCAAGCGACGACGCAAGGGACAGGGTTGATTAACATCAGGCTCCCCGGCGGGATGAACCTGTACCGCATTGTGCATACTTTGATCAAGATCAAGATAGTTATTGCTTGTAGACTTTTTATACAAGATTTAGAGAGGTCATTTTCAGGCCTTTCTCTACGGAGCGTGTGCTGCACAATCTCGCTCTGCATACACGGCGGGAATCCATCGCCGCTAGCCCTCATACTCTATGGAGGCGCTTGCTCATAGAGGGAAGTGCACAATCGCTAATCGATATATATGCTGTGCACATATATGGTGTACAGCGTGGTACGATCCTCTCTTGCTGTCTCCCTCTCCGTATTTTCCTCGATTTAGGATTTGATGCGACTAATTTGTCTCTTTAAATCTGTCTGATGTTTTATATAACCAATCATTCCAAAAAGCACCTTGAGATATTGAAACCAGTAAATTCCACTTTCTGCAATAAGTACTATATTATAGCCATGGTGGTGACAGCTAAAACCAATATAACATCACTTATTATCCGGCATCACTTGCAGGAGAGATCTCCTGTTTCCCCAAGGCCTGGATCGCCTGTGGCGCCCTGCTGCCCAACCCCAGTAGAAAGAACGAACATCTGTGATATGGTGATGCAAGGCATCCCAGCAGACACCCACGCACAGCCCAGTATGCTGGTGTTCTTTATAGGAGGACTCCATCTATCTTGCAGAAATAGACATGAGTCCCGCACCGCCGTTGTGGACGTCCCTGGTCTGGTTATTTATTCCACCCGGGCCTCTAACTAATACCTGTCAGCTAGAAGGGTGTATTCGATGTTAATCATCGACAAGTCAAGATTTCGAGTTTTCTACCACTTTCGCTTCGTTCAGCATCCGTCAGCAGCTGGGAAACTAGTTCTGCTTGAGCAAGGGGGTCAGGCAGCCATTGGCCTAAATATGTACGGCCTCCTCTTTTACTCTCCCCTCTCTTGACCCTGCGTTTCTTCTACTTATGAGTCGGGTGGAAAAAAAAAAAAAAAAAAAAAAAAATGGGATGAGAAAGAATATCCCATTGGATGGATAGTTTTTTTTTTTCTTTTTTTTTTTTTAAAAAAAAGGAACTTTAGACGACAACATGATGGCACTCTTCGATATTCTGCGGTTGGAACTCAAATCTCTCCTCTGGCCGCTCAAGAGCTCTAGAGAAATAAGTATCAGTACAATGTACTCTATATGTATCTGCCCCAATGTTGCGTATACATATATACATTTACTTAAATGGCATTGTTACGCTTCACCCCCATCACCCAAGCCGCTTGAGATCTTCTGTCATCCTCGCATGCACCTCCAAACCTCCACAGGATAGTCGCGGATATAATACTCCTTTCGTGTGGCTAGATTTTAGCTCATGCGGAGCCCTGTGCCCCAATCTCCCCGCCAGCGATCATGCATAAAAGGGGCCTTTGTAGCTAATTCAACATACTTATTATGTAAAAAAGCTGCCCTTTTCTTTTCTCTCATAGCGACTCGAAGGCTGAAAACCGTCAACCTTACTCGTTATTTAAGTGCGGAGCAGATCTGGCTCAATTGGAAGGTTGCATATCCAGACCAGCCACGCACAGGTTGTGGACAAAGCCAGGGAGAATAAAGGAGAGGCTAACTCCTCTACACGTCTAAATAGTAAGTTAGCCAACGTAGAACAGTTCAAGAGGGCAGAAAGCAATGCGAACAGTTGTCCAGGATTAACGCCTGCTTCGGTTGCATGGATATTTTTGCTTTCAATTCTGGCCTATCAACAAAAGCCGTCCCCCGCCCCATCCACCTGTAGGGCTTGTCACTAAAGAAGAAATATATGCCTTTGGAAGAGGATGACAAGTTAAGCCGACGGTGGGATTGGCCAAACCACTGAATTCAGTTTGTTGATCCATCCAAGCCCCCCATCTACGCTGTGCAACTGCTTGGAGGTGGTTGAAGCTTCCGCCGAGATGGAAGTCGACGCGGGAGACGAGGACAGCAGTGGTCAATCGTGTAACCATACAAGAAAGTCCACATTAGCTCGTGGAGCGGAGAATAAAACAAAAGGACGAGCAGAATGGCCAGTGGTGGTGAAATTGAAATACTAAATGGGTGTAGTTGAATAACGTTATTAAGACAGTGGTGGAGAATGAAGAAGTGCAAAAAGTGATATCAATAGACAAGGAGCGAGCAATGCGGCATATCGATGGGTGAGGAGGAAGGGAGAAGAAGAAATACAGCTGAATGGATGAAAACCCTCCAATGCACCTCACGATGCGTCAGTTGTCTCGAACCTCGCTGCATACCAACTAGGTAGCTAGTCAGTGTATAGATAAGGTGAGAGAAACGAAAACAAGACCAAAAAGAAACATAGTGCATAAGTGATGCGCTCTACACAGTGTTGGTTGACCAAGGCAATGTGACGGGGAAATATTTTTGCTTTTGTTGTGGATTTCCCTGAGGCGCAGGGCCGTATTTGTTTTGATACCATGATTCCATAATGATGACGGTAGTGGAGCCCACCGGCGAGAAATATGAGATGTCCTCCTTGCAGACTGCCGTTAGGAATCTATCTCTTCCTCCGAATGCGATGCTCTCTTCCTCTCTTGGACTTCTTTCTTTGCTTATCGGCCGGAAGCACGAGTGGCTCGTTTCTGAGGTTCCACTCCATAAAGCGAAGCAAGTAGTCGTCGATATGGCCAACGTGGGATTCAGAATCATCAACTTCAACGGGACGGCGGTCATCGGGGGTTGCGGAGACTGAAACCGGATATGTACTGCCGTTTGCGTGTGATACAGAGCGTTCATACTCGCCTGGTTCGATGGGTGCAGGGGTCCCCAGCAGGCTTTGGGTAGTTGACTGCTGCTGTCCTCGTGCTGCTGCGGGTGTCTGTGGAGTGCTAACATTGTCAAAGTTACTGTCGTCAACAGTCTGCTCAAGCTCTTTTTCGGCCGTCTTCGCAGCGTCGATGTCTTCCTTATCCTCAGCTTGCTCGAAAATGCGTGATGAAGTCCCATGAACCTTGGTATCCAGGACCCTATCCATGGCTGCACCAGCCTCGTCATGGCCTTCGCCCAACTCTTCGTCGCCTAGTATACCGCTGATGTCGAGCCTATTGAGATAATCGGTAGTGAACTCTCCTTCTTGTATCACCACATCATCCAACATCCTTTTCTGGTTTGCTTTACGTAGGATATTGGACTCAATCGTGTATTCAGAGACAAACCTGTAGATGTGCACATCTCGGGTTTGACCAATCCGGTGGCAGCGGTCCTGACATTGTTTGTCCATCGCCGGATTCCAATCCAAGTCGTAAAATATGACGGTGTCTGCTCCTGTTAAATTGATGCCTAGACCACCCGAACGACTTGAAAGAATGAATGCCAATATACGTGTATCATTGTTAAACCGCTCCGTTAAGAGTTGCCGCTGTTCTATCTTTGTAGAGCCATCTAGTCGGAGGTACCGATGACCATGAATATTTAAGAACTGCTCTAGAATGTCCAACATTTTGGTCATCTGGGTGAAGATCAAAGCTCGGTGACCACCAGCCTGGAGTTTCCGAAGTAGTTTATCAAGCTGCTGAAGTTTCCCACAATCGTATTGCAGTAATCGCTTGTCCGGAAAGGCAATTGATAGTCGCATTTGTGCCTCATGAAACGGGTCATATGCAGGAATTCGTTGTGAAAGAGTGAAGTAGCGTGATGTGATGGGTGTGAGTGTAGCTGCTGTAACTCCATGGGCGACAGCAGCTGGGGTAAGACATGCGAACTTTTGTACCAATGGTTCCATCATTAGCGATCTTGATTCCACGGATCGTATCATAGAGGCAAGTACCAAGGACTTATTCGAGAGCCAGTCGAGGAGTAATTTTCGTGGCGGTCGATGCCTGGTTTCTGGCTGTAGGGGAACAACAATGGTAAGGTTGTCGATAAGGCTCTGGCCATACATCGGACGTTGGCCATGGCGCTTGGATTCGAAGTACAGACATCTTTCCAGCTCCTTCATACGGGACTTCCGAGCGTTGTTGTCCATGGAGCGTAAGGTTGACTGGACAGTGGATCCGTCGAAGCTCATATCCCAGTTTGTCCGGTTATATTGTCGCTGTCGAAGAGAAGTCAATGGGTTGTATGCCATGATCCGGGCGCAGTCTTCCACCAACATCTTTGAGCCCTGTTCCCGAGAGATCGGAGCAAGATTCAAGAAGTCAAAATCCAGCTTCTCCAACGCATCTTCCTTCAGCAATCGTCGACGAATAAGAAGGTCTTTAATTTCGAAATCTGACACAACAGAGCCGGGCATGGCAAACGATGTACTGATCGGCCGTGTCTCAAACAGGTCGGGATGGTTGCAGACTTTCCGAAGCTGCATCAGACAGTTGATGATGGAAAGATAGTTCCCAGAAGCTAGGGTCTCCTTCGTTTGAGCTCGAGACATAAATCCATCGTAAAGATATCTCTGGCGTTTTGATAAGCGGCAGGCAACAACATGCTCGTATTTTGCTGGCATTTGTTTCTCAACATCCACCTTAAGACGCCGCAGAATATACGGTCTTAAAATGGTATGCAGTTTCGAAACGACTGCTTTGGCCTCGTCATCCATCGTTTCTCTTCCATGCTCTAAGATTTGTTCGACGGGGCGACGGAACCATTCTGAGAAATTCCGGAGATCTGCAAACCCTTCAATGCCGTTCCCGTCTTCATCTGATGGCATGAGGAAGAATAGAAGTGACCATAGTTCTGTCAAGTTGTTCTGTAGTGGTGTCCCCGTAAGTAGCAGCCTTGCCTGAGTCTTGAAAGTAAGCAATGTTTGCCATCTTTGAGACCGGAAGTTTTTGATATTGTGGGCTTCATCAAGCACCATATAGTGCCAGTTTCGTCGTCTGAAAATTTGCTGATCCTGAAGGACAAGTTGGTATGAAGTAATGCAGACGTGCCAACGGTCATTGTCCATCCAACCTTTTCGCTTCTGCCTTCGCTCTTCCTGGGTGCCATAATAAGTAAGTATCTTAAAACCCGGACACCACTTTTTGAACTCCATCTCCCAATTTAGCATGACACTTGTTGGAACTATGATGAGGTGTGGGCCCCAGACTTCATGCTCGACAGCTAAATGAGCCAGAAGTGCTATTGTCTGAATTGTTTTCCCTAAACCCATCTCGTCTGCAAGAATGCCGTTTATATTGCTAGCATATAGGCCAGCTAGCCAGTCAAGGCCAAAGTGCTGGTATTCGCGCAGCTTTCCTCGGAGAAGATGGGGGATAGGTGTCTTGATACCAGTCTTTTCGAGGGCTGACGCTGTTTCCCCGGCATCGGTATCTTTAGGACTCCCAACCTGGGTCGTCGGATTCTGCTGCTCCTCCGAAGTCGCTTTGGTAAATGCCTGGTTATCTATGGTATTACCATTTGTGCCTGGTGCCAGAGTCGTTGTCTCTCCTAGATCAGTGTCCAACATTGGGGTATCGTCGTCATCAGACTCCTTTTCCGGGCATTTCGTCATAACGTGAGCCTGCTTGTCACTTATGTCTGTATTGTCATTAGTGCTGGAGACACAGTTTGCAGCCGGACTATTGGCGTCTTGAGTGGTGTTTTCAGAAGCTTTAGTGCCGTTTGGGATGATGGTTTCGGCTTTGGAAAAAAAGCCTAACAAACCTCCTCCACCATGGTCATTCACATCGCTTTCCTCACTATCACTGACATCATCAGTGTATCCCTCTTCGACCCCTACATCACTATCACTCATATCGTCGTCCATGTCAGTGGACTCATCGGACTCATCGAGTAGGAGGGGATCGACCTCCTCTAGCTTGACATAGCTTTGCTCTTGCTCCCCAGTTGGGGAAAATTTGTCCCTTAATGTTTCTTTGACATAGCTACCCTCACCAGGCGTAGCTTCTCCGTCTTCATCTTGGTTCTCTTCTTCATCTTCATCTTGGTCCTCATTCTCATTTACTTCTCCGTCATCACTCTCATCGCTAGAGCCACCAGAGAGCACGGAAACGTCCATAGCCGCAAGATTCGCATACTTTGCACGAAGGGCTTCCGGGCTTAGTTGTTCATCATCATTGTCATCCAGCCCTTGATCGCTTTCAGGCTCTGAGCCTGAAGATGACATGTTACTGTCATCTCCAGAATCTTCAGTTTTGCTAGATGCGGTTTCTCCCTCGTCAGTCTCATCTTCCTCATCTTCTAGTTCGCCTGTTCCAATCCGATCTGATCTCCTCCTCTCAAATAAGGCTGTTGATTTCTTCAAGGCATTATTCAAGGCGAGCTGTTCTTCCATCTTACGCTCTTGTTCCCAAATAGCTAGCCTGGCATTATCAACTTCAGCGCGGACTAGATCGAACTGCCGTTGCAGATCCTTAATTAACTGTCGACGTTTCTGGCGGAGTTCATTGTGTTGTTCTTTGAGAATATCTTCGGGAGCCTTGTTTCGCTTTTTCCATGCATCTGCACACCAGTGTGCAAATAACCTAGCAAGGTTTCTATGGTGCTTACGCTCCTTGTCAAGTAGCTTTTTGAAGTATAATGCGTGGGCTACAAAGTGGTCTTGGTGTGAATATTGACGGGGAGGGAGCTCTTCAGGATCCGTTAGGTAAAATGAGCAGCGTTCTTTGCTCAGGACTTGGTTAGGCTTTCCTGCCTCCTGTAGCCGTAAGCGAACCTGAGCCTCCTGAAGGGCCTCCTGCGGAGTAGAGAAATGGGTATCTTCATCACCGGGTGTAGTCTTATATAGCCATTCGTAGAAGGATGAGTACTTTTTAGGAGGGAGGATGTGCGAGGGATGCTGGACTTCTAACGAAGGCATTTTTACGCGGAACCGAAGTCTCGGGAGCTTCTGGGCTGCTCCATCGTCTCTGTCCCTCACCTCGGACCGACTCCAGCGCTGCTGGTCCCAATTCTCTTGCTTCACAACCCCTGCGCCGTCACTCTGCCTTCTCCGGGGCCTTCCTGGTTTACGCTTCGGTGGAGGATCTGACGGAGAATTCGAGCCAACAGTGTTAGAGGATCGTGTAATGTCAGAGACGCGCCGCTGGGATAAAGGTTGAAGCTGAGAGGCACTTTTCGCAAATCCTGAAGCCGCTTTAGATATAACTGCGCGTCTGGAGGTACCATTTGGAGAAGTAGCTGGATCCATGCCATTATTGGAATTGCTGCCTCCGAGCACACGTCTACCATTTATCTCTGGTCTTGCAGCCACGGTGGGCGAAGCAGAGCTGCCACGTCCCTGACTCCAGCTCTGAATTGTCTTGTTAACAGGTCCCTTGTGCACCGGTGACTGTGTACGTCGCGGATCACCCTCGGGCAACATCTCGATAGGTATCATGTTTGTTCTGGTCGACCGCCGCTTGCCGTCTTCCATAAATGAGGTAGGTCCATCGAATCCGGCGCGTTTCCATGGCGGAGAAGGTGGTCGTGGTGTGCTTCTCCCTGAAGTACCCGCAAGCTTCCGCCGCTTCGATGGCGGTCCATTAATCCCATTAAGCTGGTCGTGTTTCGCGACGCCGTTATTATTCGAGTCTCGCCGTGGCTGTTGGGAGGGAGTATCCGCGGGCGTCGAAGGGCTGGCTATGCGTTGAAGGTCGCGATCGTGTTCAGGAGTCGAAGTATCGCGACTGTGTCCCCTGCCGTTCGGCGTGCCGTTTTGCATGTCTTGTCACTAAAGAAAGAAAGAAAAAAAAAAAAAAAAAAATTGAATGGGGGGAACAGGAAAATAAGCTAGGAAAAAGACCCTAACCCGTGATATCTGGGCGAATATGCGGTCAAATCTCCCAAATCTCCCATCAATCGATAGATCTATGTCTGTCGAGGCCACACACGAAATCTGGCATCATTATCGGCAAAGCTGCGTTGCTGGTGGGCTTAAAGATGGCTGATCCTGAGGATTTGGCGGGAAGTCGTTAATTTTCGCCGCTGCAGCTCGCGAGATAACGAATTAGCTGACTAAGCACGACCTGGTTGACTAAGCAAAGGTCGAAACTCAGCGACGGAAAGGAAGCAAAGACGGCAGAAGCAACCTCACAGCAGACACCAGACGAGCGAGAAAGAGACACGCACGACAGCGACAGCAAGCGGACAAGTTGCCAATGGTGAGTGGTCTCCGTCCCTGAGGGTGGCAGGGGCTGGCTACGGCGGTTTTACTGACGAGCGGGAGCAGATGCTGTCGAGACGAGTCCTGTCGGCGGCGCGAGCGCCAGCGCTGGCTCGCATGCTAACAGCCCCTAGAATCACAGCGACACAAGTCCGATATGCCTCTCAGGCTGAGATACAGGATCCGGGCATGGTTCGTCACCGGAATTCAGGCACTTGACCCTAGCGAGGTAGAGGGGGACGACCTGTGTCTGGGGCTGACTCTTGTGGTTTATAGAATGGCGGATATGAGAACCCTCCAGCAGTGAAGCGCCAGTTCCGTGACCCAAATGCTGGGTGGTGGGATCCCCAGGATAAACGGAACTTCGGCGAGCCGGTCCATGAAGACAACGACATCTTGACAACATTTAGCCCGGAGGAGTACACCCACTTTAAGGCTCCCAAGGCCTTTTTCCTGCTCGGCTGTTCCATAGCCAGCGTGTTCGCCTTTTCTGGCATCGTCAGCCTCTTCTATCCAGACAAGCCCAGCGCTCCCCGGACATTCCCAGACGGCCTCGAGACTGAGCTGGGTGGACCTAATGCTGTATCTGTGAGTTTGATGGCTAATTCCCGGATTCAAACAGTGACGTCTTAGCTGATATTATTTTACCCTTTTTCTTTTTATTACTTTATAGGCGAGAAAGCACCATGAGGATAGCTGGTGATGACCGAGAAGGTTATTGAACTTGTATATAAAAAGACAGCCTAGAGATCCAATCACAGATATTGCGAAAGCCTGACGACCCTGTTGTCCTATTTACTAGTGAATCCATTTTGCTTCAGAGGCACATGGCCGTCAAAAAGGAAATATAACACCGCCATTGCCTCACCATACTCATACAACTTATCAGATACTACCCTGGTGGTTTATGATGCAGCAATAGTCTTGAGAGAGAGAGAGAGAGAGAGCTAACAACTCTGGTCAGGCTTTGTGGCTTCGACCTGAAGGGCCAATTGACCGATGCGGGCAGGGTCCAGTAAATAAAGAAACCCAGGCATGTAATGTTATACTTCTTCTAGGAGGGAGTTCTGAGATGTAACGCATATACGTAATAAAAGGACGTAGAAACTGCCGGAGACGGAGGTTTTCAATTTTTGTCGTCTGCATCGTGATCGATATAAATATGAAGTTATTCTTCGCTGCAAGGGGGCCCGGCAGCAAGCCACAGTATAAGATCTGACACACTACGTCAGAGGCCAAAATCCACATCTTCCCCCCTGGACAGCGACATCAACCACCCCGTCCTGTTTCTTCTGCTATTTTGTATTCCTCTAGTTTCGTTTATCTGGGAGCTCGAGGTGTTTTCCACCCGATTCGACCAGAGCACCACAGGGGCTTCACTTTTCCTTCTCACCGAAAGCTGGATGAGTGTGGTTCTCCAGTTTGCCCCGTAACGTGACGCCGGCTGTGTTTTCTCTCTGCCATCACCAAACAAACAAGCAAGTCAGCATCATCCCAAGGGCTTCATACTTCCTTCTCTTCACCTCTTTACCTCTCCATACAGGTACACCGAAGCCACGTACCATCCCTTGGCCTGAGATCTTCTACTGAACACTGGGGCTTCTCTAGATCTATGCGCGACGCCGACGTTGACAAACTGCCACCCCCTGGACGTTGGATCACGAAGCTCTGATGAGCGTGAGCACCAGCGAGACGACTTACATGTCCAGTACCAAAAGACACTCTGTGGGCGGCATCAGACGCGTGGACAGCCCAAGCAATAATGTCCGGCGTCACTCTCGAAATATGTCTGCTGCCCGCCGGCGCCGAGTTAGCAGTAACGATGCCTATACTTATGGCCTTCGGGTAGCCTTCTTAGCCTACCTTCTTCAGGCGCGAACGAAAAGAGTGCAAGCTGCTCCTCCTCCGCCTCGGCCACAGTCACTCAACCGGGCTTCAACCTCGTTTCATGACCTGATGAAGGACTTTAGCTTGGTGCGGGACTCGAAAAGCACCAGGTTCCCTCATGGGTTCATCAGCGAGCTTGAAAGACGACTGACGGGTGTCCTGATTGGCAGGGAGAATAGAAAGGAATTCCAGGATTCTACCGTCAAAAGGACGTTTGGGGCCTTTCTAAACTCATTAAAGGAGCAGACATTCAAGAAACGGATGGAAAAGGACAGGCGAGTCGAGGATCTGGTGCTTATTTTCTTCTCAAATGCAACCAAGGAGCTGTCCAAGGGGAAGGCCCCGGAAGACACCAGCTGGAAACTGATGGTAGATCGCCATGTTGCATTGTTTGTCCGGCTTATCACTTTCATTCTAAAGGACCATGACTGGATCAAAGACCGACCAGAGCTCGCAAGCAGGCTTGCAACACTGGAAAGCAAGCTGCTTGCTCATGACCAAAATCTTACAGTGTCTTCTCAAAGAGATAGCCACACTATTGAAGTTGCGGCTCCACTAAGCTATGATGTAAAGGACATGCCTCTAGTGCTGACTGTTGCAAAGGCATTTGGTCTACGGAACTCCCAGGTCCAGTCGGATATCAACAAGAATAAAGATGCCTGGACGGGGAAGGAAGCACTGCAGGATTTGAAGCTATATCAAGCACACCTTAATCTCAATACTGGGGGTACTCTCTCCGTAGCCGATTTTGAGATTGAAGAGGGATATGAGGCATGGAGAAAGGCAGAGGGGCCGGACCTCTCACAGATGATGTTGGCCATAATCCAATCCAACCCAGAGCTTGCAAAGAGTACAGGTGCAACCTTACCACAATTCAATGCTCAGCTTGCGGACAACCCAACTGAGGAAGACTTCAACCTGGATCCGTATCCCAATGCATCGGAAGGTTCATCTTACGTGATCGACCAACCGGTGGATATGACCTCATTATCTCTGGAGGAACAGACCTACGAGCATCCTGACACGAACTTGTACACTTTCATACCCCCAGATCCACGATCATATTACCGGTTTCTGCTAAGCCAACTCCTCACACATGACCTCAGTGACCAGTCTCTCGAGGCATCGGAGGCTACCTCAGAAACTCCGGCTTCGAAATTACTATCAAAGCAGTCGACAGAGCTGCTCAATGAAATATGTTTACGCTGGAGGATACCTAACTTCACCCGAGTAGTTCTTTTCCTGGACGTCATTCGGGAAAAGTACGTGGACCAGGAAATTAGCCTAGACACTCTCGATTCAGCATTCGCGTTTGTCAAAGATCCTCCACCGACCAAAAATAAGCGCGCCAGCATAGTCATGGCACCTATCTTGTACGATAGGAACAAATGGACACAGGCAGATATATTCTGCATGCAACGTGTCATAGCTGGAATACATGAAGGTTTGCTACGACAGCTGTATGAAACAATGATGTCCTGCTACGAAACCAAGATTCCGCCAATTGGCCCCGTGATGTATGTCCTAGAGAGTCACGTCGAATCTGATCCGTACTTTGTGGAGAGTACGGAGGAGCGGGAGCGGTTTCGGGAGTATGCCTCTGAGGGGCTCCTAGAAAAAGCCAAAGCCATCTACCAGGAGGCCCTAAATAAAGAGATTCCTCCTGAGCAGCATGAGTGGGAGTTCCACCACGTTATCCAGCTTGGCAAGGCTGTTATGAAAGTCTGTCAACGGATACAAAAGCGCTACAGAAAGAATCCCGATATACTAGGGTGAGCTACCTTATAGACATTTTAGCAAGAAGATATACTAACCATTCTTTTCACAGAGTAAATCCTATTGCCGTCCTGGTTAATTATATTCTCCCTGTGTATGCTGAAGACGCAAGGGATATGATCATCCGGATAATGGAACGAGCGCAGGAAAAAAACGAGCAGATTGAAATGCAGGATGGATTCGATTTATACGGTGAGCTTTCTAGCATTCGACAAGCTTACATTGAAGCCCTTCCTGGCGAGTCATTCCCTTTTCACCTTGAGGAACTGCTAGCGGAATTTGTCTGGCGCTGGATCCAGGTTACAAATGCCAAAATGAATGACTGGGTAAACCAAGCAGTTAAACAGGATAATTTCAAAGTCCAAACGGATTCTCCTGGTGAGATACCCACAGAAGAACAGCGACATAGTGTTTCAGTAACAGACGTGTTTCGGTCATTTAATCAGGTTGTGGACCAAATAGTGCAATTGAATTGGGACGATGATGTAGGATATGCGAAGTTCATGACGGCTATTTCGCGGTCGATTGGGAACGGAATGGCAAGATATTGCGAAATTTTGGAGGGACTATTTAGCCGCGAGATGGACAGATTAACACCAGAGCAAGAGGCTGCAGCAAGACAGACAAAGCAGGAAAAGTGGATGCAAATGGCAAAGGACGCTTGGAGTAGCAAGGAAAAGGTTGAACCATTTCAATTCTTTCCAGAGGTATGGCAACATCTACTTACTCCACTATCTATTCTTCTTCCATATCCTTGCCTAATTAAAGGAAGCGGCTGCTGACAATAACCTCTCACAGTCCTTTGTGAAACTCAATAATATTGAATATGCACTGCAGAAATTCGATCAGCTGGAACGTGACATTAATGTCGATGCGTGCGCCGAGGTGCTGGCAAAGAACGCACCGCCTTTAGCGAAGAGGCAACGCAAGATAAGCAATTATGTCTTCACTGTCAAAATTGTTGAAGCCGAAGATTTGAAAGGCTGCGATCTTGACGGCCTAAGTGATCCGTACGTTGTCTTAACTGATGAATACCAGAAGCGAATTTCCAAATCGCGTATTATCTACAACAATCTCAACCCACGATGGGACGATACGGTAGATATCATGACAAAAGGCCCACTGAACATTATTGCAACCATATGGGACTGGGACGCTGTTGGAGACCACGATTACGTTGGTAGAACATCAATGAAGCTCGACCCTGTGCATTTTGCTGATTTCGCACCACGGGACTACTGGCTGGACCTGGATACCCAAGGAAGGTTACTCCTAAGGGTTAGCATGGAAGGAGAGCGGGATGATATTCAGTTTTATTTTGGCAAGGCTTTCCGTACGCTTAAGAGAACGGAAAAGGATATGACGAGAAAGATTACAGAAAAGGTAAGACTTGCTCACATCCGATATCCAACATCTTAAGTGTTAACGTGGTGTATAGTTATCGGCGTATATCAACCACTGCCTGTCGCGGCGAGCTCTTAAAGCCCTTCTTTCCCGTGGCATCAGCATGTCGACCGTTTCTAGTTACTTTAATCGAAACCGGACACAGTCAAGCCAAGCGCCGACGCAAGCTGAGGTTGAGAACGCCCTTGCGCCTCTATTTACGTATTTCGATGACAACTTTTCCATAATGAATCAAACGCTTACAAGCCCTGCTATGCGCACCGTTATGGCTCGACTGTGGAAAGAGGTCCTTTCTACAGTTGAATCTCTCCTTGTCCCGCCATTATCTGACAAACCGTCCAATCAAAAGCCACTCACGCAGCTAGAACTTGACATAGTTCAGACCTGGCTTGGATTACTTCTCGCCTTTTTTAACGCCGTTGATGAAGAAACAGGAGAAGCCAACGGGGTACCAATGGATGTCCTCAAAAGCCCCAAGTATCATGAGATACAGACGCTGTTTTATTTCTATTTTGAACCGACGGAGCAGCTGATCCGTACTTCAGAGCGCATGGCTAGTGCCACTGCCGCTAGACAGCAGGCGAACCGTAACCGCCTCTCCGCCTCAACCATGGCTCTAGGTGTTCCGGGTATCGCTGGCGTCCTCTCCACCCGACGAGGGAAGAGCATCTTTCTATCTCGCAATCTGGGAACAATGAAGAAAGCGAAAGAGGAGAAGCGGCGCGAGGCCCAGGCCGAGCCTAATGATGATATGATATTAAGGATTCTCAGAATGCGAGTGGAAGCTGCTGGCTATCTTCGAGATCGAAGCAGGCAGAAGGAGCGGCTGGCAACGGCGGCTGCTGCAGATCTGATTGTTAAGCAGAGTCTGATGGCCGGCACTGGAGGTCGCATGTCAGGAACTTTGCCACGATATTGAAGTGCTACGAATAATGTTTTCCCCTCCCTCTGTCTCTCTTTTTAATACGTCTTCTTTTGGCGCCGGAATTAATATCGCAGCTCGTTCGGGCGTAGGATGGTTGCATGAATGTGATGCGCTGGGATAATGGAGACGGTATGCCAATTTTTCGTTATTATTTGTCCTGGCACATAATGGTATCAATTAGTCCTATAGAGGATTTATATCACCCTATAATTCATGATGTCCCATATATACATATTTGTGTATGCCATTATACTCTTCATCATTCAGCTATATATTTGATGTTTTTCTTTTTCGGTTAAATGTACACCTGGATGATATTTTGTTCTCTACTGGAGAGCAATACACTCAAGCTCGACTGGAACACCCTTGGGAAGCTGATGCACGGCAACACAGCTGCGAGCAGGCTTGTGGGAGAAATACTTTTCAAACACTCCGTTCATCTCTGCAAAGTCGGCCATATCAACGAGGAAGACCTAGGTTATATTATAAGTTAGAATTGGAGTTCAATTGGCCCCGCAACGGCAAGAAGAGCATACGTTGACCTTGACGACTTTATCAATAGAGGAGCCAGCAGCAGTCAGTACAGCACAGATGTTGCGGCAGCAGAGGTCAGTCTTCTCAGCAATGCTTCCCTCGAGGAGCTTGCCAGTGTTGTCGGCGGGAATTTGGCCGGAGACGAAAACCTGCCCGCCAGCCTTGATGGCTTGGCTCTATGGATTGTTTAGATGAGTTCTTGCTTCCAAGTGATAATCTCCACGCTGAGCAATGCAGGAAACGTACGTATGGGCCAGCAGCTAGAGAACGTCAATTAGTCTACTGCTTCGTTGCTTGACTGAAATAGCCGGCGGGCAATGGAGGGGTGAGACTCGACTTACGGGGACAGGCGTCCTTGGTAAAAACAGGCTCCATGGGGAGAGACGTGATCGCAGTTCTAGTAAATGTGCGCGTGTAGCAAGGTGAGGTTGCGGCTAGATGCGAGAGTCGAAGCGGGCGAAGTTGAGCACAGGAGGGAACCAGTCGGCGAGCCAGCATCGGGAGGTGTCTCGTAGATGGCGTATTTATACGGCAAGCCGGGAGTCACTGGTTGTTGTTGGTTCGATCATACCTAATGATTATTGGATCGGTAAGAAAGTTCCCCGCGGTCTTTTGCGGCTTACCCGAATGACTAAGCCGGCAAACTTGCTCTTTAAGTTTATCTCGACGCCAACCGTTCGAAATCAACGACAAGCAACAACAACAAGGACGCTAAGTATAGGCAGTTACGATTTCCCGTCAGCCGGAATTTTTGATCTATCTCCTCATGGCGCTAGTTACATAAGAGGCTTGGTATCTACATTTAATTTAAGGAAATAGTACAATTTTCCTAAAAACCAATACCTCAATCAACGCATTCGTTGACAGAGTGATCAAGCTTTCCAGGCGTTTGTCAGGAACTCCCGCATGTTGACCGGCTTAACATCAGGGAACATGTTGTTGATGCGCTTATCCTTCGGCAGCTTGAACCCGTCTATAATGGCAACCTGACTCATATAGGAAACAACCCAGCTGACGATTTCTGGGGGGTATACCACCTTGTCCGACTGAGGCAGAGGGGTGGACTCGTTGTTTTTTACCTTCTCCAGAGGGTCATAAGAAACTTCAAACTTGGTTCCTGTGTAAGCCCAAAAAGAAAAATGTTAGTTCATTCGTGAATATAAACATAATGTCGCCTGTCAGAACCATACCGCTAATTTCCTCCCCCATCTTTACCAACTCATTGAAAGTAAGATCATCTCCTCCCATATACGCAAACTCCGGCCATTCCTCCGTGCCAAGTAACTTTGCAATGAACTTGGCCATGTCGTATGAATAGGTGAAGGTAATGATATTATTACCATCACCTGGGATTATAGCTCGGCGGTTGGGGATATCAACCGCATAAGCGAGTGGCTTCAAACGAGTGCGGACATTCGGCATACCCCAGTAGTCCATGAAGTAACCGGGAAAGATTCGAGTATACTTCAATTTGGTCTCCTTGAGTGCATTGTTTGCAGCAATGTACAGGTTCACTCCGGGAGTGATATGAAGGATCCTGTTCTCGGGCTATCAGTAGGTCTTCTTGCAATCTGCGGGGTTGGGGGCGGTGTTACTCTTCTGATTGAACGAATGAATATTCACTAGGAATAAATCTTTTGGTTACAGAAGACTTCTCCGCAGCCTGGATGAGGTTCACTTGAGACTGGCCTGCCTCGGGAGAGATCATACCAATGGTGCAGATTACTGTATCTATATTATGTTTCTCGAGGGAGGCGGCAAGAGACGAGACATCGTTGTAATCTACCTCAACCTGTTCAACTCGGCTGAGAGAGTCACGAGCCTCCTTCTTCTGTTGAGCTTTAGTTGGGTTATTCACCGTGAAGATAGTAGGGGGGTTTTCATACGCGTGTGAGGATGACGATCTGTTTTTGATATTCGGGAATTTCCAAAAGTGTATCCACGATTGTCTCTCCGACAGGGCCCATGCCCGCGATGGCAATAGTCATTTTGCGGTATGACTGGAAGTATTTGAATTGCGACAAGGAAAAATGTTGAAAGTTCGAGGGAGGAACAATGCCAAATGGCTCAGAGGATGGATAGGGAACATTCAGAATTCTGGGCTATGATATTGTATTTATCTTCCTACGAAGAACAAAGAAAGGAGGAGGGGGAGAAGATCGTTATCCCTGCGGTTGGAAGCGCTTTTCTGGTGCGGTACGAACGGTTATTTCGTATAATTCCAATGATGTAATTAATATTAATAGCCCATTTAAAGTGACCTGTACGGTTGCAAACCGAACTGCATCGAATGGCATACATACAGCCACAATAAAGCGTTTTCCCTGTTATCGCCCACTTATTTTATCCGCTTCTTTCTATCTCATGTGTAAAGTGGAGGAACTAATAGTACAACCAAAGCTGGCCCCTCCAGCGTTGGAATTGTTGGTCAGCCTGTCGGTTCCATCCCACCTTGCGCGGTTGGCAACATAATGACGCCCTTCTCCTCCACTCTTTCATTTTTCTTTTTTTTTTCTTTTTTCCATTTTTTTGTTTCCATCTTTCTTTTAATTTAAGAGGAATTGCACCAAGGAAGGGCGTCTTTTCTCATATTTGAGAAATTGACGCTGGTAGACTCAAGGTTCAATAATTATCGGCAACTCAAAATTAGATCCTTAGTGCTGAATATTCGGTCTTACTCTCTACTGCACGCTCTCTCTCCAGAATTTAGCTCACTAGTTAAATTGTTAACTAAAGTGATTGATGAATAAAAAGCGAGAAGTCAACAGAAAATCCTAGAGCAACCGGTTAAACTGCTGCTTTATGTAATGATAATAATTTCTCCCATCTTCATATATCTGATACAGCCATGCATAGTTATAATACGACACTCTGGTGCATATTGAACCGAAGCCCTTCACTTGGTACTTTTAAGCCTGAAACTACCTACGGCTGGAAAGAATTTCATCTGGTGAGTGCTAGTGGAGGTATCATGCCTTGCAGTTGTCTATTTTATGGAATGTATCTATGTAAATGGAGTATTGAGTCATGGTCCAACGAATCCTCCCACAATTATGATAAATGGGAAAGATTTCTCCGCTTGGCATATCCAATATTTGGGTAAAGCAAAAAGCCTGCTAAATCCGTAATGATACTAGTTTTTTGACTCCCAGCCAGCTCATTCAAGAAACTACGGGAGAACCTAGAACTAATCATACTGTCATACCAACTCTCGTTAAAGGCCACGAACTCTAACGTTCACTCGTTCAGGACTGAGTTTACTTTCCAGGAAGGTACTTCGTACGGAGGTTGGGACTCTAACTCCGTGTATGGTGCAGCTAACTACGGAGTACACTGCATTGCGACGTAAGTCGAAATTTTGTAGCCACCGAAGTTTTGAGCAGCAAAGAGGAGGTGGTTTCTAGCAATTTAATTGGCAGTAGATCCCCGTGGAGGAGATATCATATTTGCGACTTGACTGCATTGAGAAGATATCTAGTCAAAAGAAAGTTATCATGCAGATAAGAGGTATGACCTGTAAAAGTAGAGCTGTAGCCGATAGGCTATCATTTGATAGTCAGAATGTTTCATGCATGAGGACATATGGGAGATGGTGGATTATACACAAGCGGGAATATGATGTTGATTAGTTTCCCCATGCTAGAGGGTTACCCTTGGAATTCATAAATTATATAAGAGAGGCTCCTCTCTAGATATTGTTTGCTGACAGCTTACTCCACAACAGAATTCCCCTACACTTCAAACCCATTTCTTGCAACCCAAATACTATTTGGTATGTATATTCTCAGCGTCTCTTTGACGAAAAAGAAATCTGACGTTGATATAGTCAATAACACGGTCATTTATCCACCATGGAGAATCCCGCAGCTTCGAAAAACACCAAGCCCATCTCAACCAAAGAGAAGGAAGCCGTTATAAAAGCCGCTCAGTACTACGTGGATGGACTGAAAACCGGCAACGTTGACCACAGTCGCAAGGGATTTCACCCAAATGCTGGAATGTATGGCTGGCTTGACAAGGACTTGAAGACTGTTCCTATTCAACAACTCTTTGATATGATCGTGGAACGAGGATGTACACCAGAGTTGATTTACCACATGGATATTATTGCAATCACCCCGTCTACGGCGATTGTGGAAGTCGACTCAGAGCTGGAAAACGGAGGATTTCGAGATCATTTAGCCATGGTAAAGGTGGATGGCGAGTGGAAGACGGTTGCAAAATTGTTCCACATTTATGAGCAATGAGACAACCATATTGCTGACCCAAGGTCTATAGCAATGGTGGTTGGAATACGCCGTTCCTGGCACCAGAAAGTTTTTGTGATAATTTATTAGGGAGTGGGTGCGCTCGGTCTTCTGGCAATGTAACTTGTGAGGCGCCCTTTTGATTTTTGTAGCACTTCCAATTCATTACTGGCCGCCCGAAGCACTTATCACAAGCCACTAGCTCACGTTTACGTCATGATATGGTAGCAATGCAGCAGCGAAAATGAATATGGCGGGAAGATCAGGGCTTCTGGTGAGCTGTAAAAAGCTGGCCAGCTTCCAGAGTTTACCAGTATGGAGTAGTATATTCCCGTCGATCTGTAGAAATGAACTGCCAAGACATGAAAGGACCCACTTAATTTGCGGGCCGAACTACGTAACTTTATTTGGTACATGAAAGCTTAATCTCATAAATTACGCATTTATGTGAAGCCATAACAGCAGTAAGTAGAACAAGGCCAACAAGATGTATGTAAATTATTACCGCCACATGAACTTACAAATGACCGCATTTACGGTTGGGATGAAAATCGCACAAATTTGAGAGCTACACCTTTCTGTTTGATCATCGGCACAGGAATCTTTATTTTATAATGGCACTACTCAAAAAGGTGGAATATTCAGTCAACAAAAATAACAACGAGGGGAAATCATTTAGTTAGATTAAAGCATGTTAAATTATCCTGTAGAGAAGCCCCATTATATACTAACAACATCGTAGGTACCATCGCGAACTGATTCCAGCGTCCGGCTTCCTACAACCTCAACTGTCCAGGCTGGGCCCTTGAAGGCGAGTCAGGCCGCGCTTTTTCCGCGACAATGGCCTCTACTCCCTCACGGAGACGACGTGCAAGCTCCGATGAAACAAGTTCAAAGGTGTCAAAAACCCTCTTTCTCAATTCCTCTGGCCCCGGAGCAATTGACCTGCACAGATTTTCAACCATCCTGTCCTGGAATTCTTGGCTACGGAACTCAGGTAGCACCTCATAGTATTCCCTGGCAAACTTGTAATCATCTTCATATGGGTGTGACCATGCCTCTGAGGTAACTTGGGAAAGCCACTTTTCGAACTCAGGGCCAAGATCTTGTTGGCAAGCAGTCTCCTTGCGACGAAGAGGAGCTTTCAGATGATCAATTCCCAAGCGGTACCGTTGAGCGTCAGGATAGGCAAACATACGCGCTTGAAGAATAGGATCCTCTGATGGCTCTACACCTGGGACGAGGTTAGATGGCGAGAAGGCGAGTTTTTCAACTTCTGAGAAGTAATCTTTCACGTTGCGATTCAGTGTGAGTTTTCCGAATGGGCGAGACGGAATGGTATCTAGACCTTTGGGGTATGTTCCAAGATTCCAGTGCTTTGTGATGTCGAGAATGTTAAAACCTAGTTTAGGCGCATCCTTCGGATCGACAACCTGTACGTTGGCAGTCCAGGAGGGATAGTCACCCCGCTCTATAGCTTCGAAAAGGTCCTTGGTGGCAAAGTCTGGGTCGTTGGGATCAATCTTGGCAGTAGATCCGTCGGTGAAGTTAGGGCCACGGTCAGATGCTAGAAAGAAGTGAACGTATTTGAATGATCCGTCGGGCATTACCCATTTAAAGGCATGCCCAACATAACTACTCAGTGTTCGCCAGGTAAACATGGTTCCAAAATCGCTGTGCTGCAGAAGCGTCATGTGCAAAGCCTCAGGGTTCTTGGTTACGAAATCCCAGGTCATGTTGGGATTTAGAAGATTTGTTTGCGGGTCCCGACGCTGTGAATGAATCATATCGGGAAACTTGGCAGGGTCACGAATGAAGAAAAATGGGAAGTTGAGTGAAACCCAGTCCCAATCTCCTTGTTCTGTGAAGAACTTCACAGCCATGCCCTTCAAATCTCTGACTCCGTCAGAAGAGCCACGCTCAAGACCAGTTGTTGAAAATCGAGTGACACATTGGGTTTTTTTGCCCACTCCAAGTAGCATGTCGATGTTGCAAATGTCAGATATATCAGCAGTCACCTGACAAGGTACGACAAAATATTGTGTTAGTGAAAATTCTCGAAAACAAATGCAAGAATAGCGTCTTTACCTCAAACTCTCCGTATGCTCCAGTTCCTTTGGCATGGACTGCTCTTTCCGGGATTTTCTCACGGTTAAAGTGGGACAAGGCCTCAAGTGTGTAAATATCTCTAGGGCCACGGCTTTGGGTTGAAGATGATAATCCATTAGGATTCATGACAGGGCACTTTTCCCCAGTGGTGTTCATGACGGGGCATTTGTCCGCTGCGTTTGGAGCCATGGTAGGTAACTAAATGCGACGATATATCGTAAATGGTTTGGAGTGTGAAGAAAAAGGGCGGCTCAGGGATGCGTAGAGTCAGAGACAGTGATTTTGAGGGACTGAAGAGCAATTCTTATCATCAGGCGAGACCTTGTACTTGGTAAATAAGAATAAATGGACAGGGCCAGCAGTTTCCAAGAAACATGCTTTGCTTATTATCACATTGTCCCTGTTTGGCTACTCGAGCTGAGATACTTTGAGTATCTTGATGGCTCAAAAATGAGCCTTGTAGAATGTAACGAGTCCAAAGGGCCATGTGGTAATCAAAATATCCCACCAAGGCCATCGTGCCAACCGGTGTATCATGTTGTACAACCTCCGAATAATTGTTCATGCAAGCATCAGTGTCAAAATCACACAACAAAGGCCCACTTGAAATCCAAAATCATATTTGAGAATAGACTGCAGAAGCTGTTGTACTGCACGGCCAATCTCTGGCACTGAACTCCGTGCAGGTTTCAGCCTGATATGCAAGTTAACTTTTGCTGGCAAGGATTCCTTTTTCCCAGTGTGGTTGGTTTTCATTACTGATTTTTCGAAATAGGACGAGGTCAAAGTCCTTATTTTTGGGTACTCTTATGCATCTGTGACTATGTGGGGTATGTCACCGAATTTCAGAATTGACCAGCCTAGTAATCGCACCGCATTGCAAGGTACGAAACTTTGGTACTCCAGCGTTCGGTCGGTATCAACTAACTATTGTAAAGTATAAACTTAAGCATCATGACCTCTTTGTAGTTAATGAATACGAGCTGGGGAATTGTCTGAGCTAAGGTGGACTCTCGAGCGTTAACAGCTAACGAGCTTCTCCGTAACCACGTAACAAATACTCCGGAAGTTTTCTTTTCTGTGTATCCTAACCTGCACCAAAAATGGCTTTCGTAACACGATGGCAATGTAAATCATGTCGTTATCTCTACGATGATTCAACATTCGAGTTTCATGGGTCCATTTGTGTTGCTAATTCAACTAACTAGCTAGCTAACTAACTACTTAACTTGTTAACCCAATCACCAATCAGGGCATACAGGCGCCAACATTGATATTCGCTCCAAAGACGGGGCAGGAGTCTTCACTCAGCAGCCACACGATAGTCCGGGCAACATCATCGGCTTCAATAACGGAGAAGCCCTCTTTCTTGTAGGTCTCTTCAACCTCCTCTTGAGTTTTCGCATTCGGTACAAATCTTGGTAGCATCGGTGTCCTAGTGATTCCTTCAAGAATTCCCATGATGTTAGAAAAACACCCGAGAACAAGGAGTATTAGTTCAAGACTCACCAGGGGAAACGGTATTAGCTCGTATTCCAAATGGCATCACGTCCTGTGAAACACAGGTAGTGAAATAGGCGCACCCTGCTTTCGAAGTGCCGTAGGCAAAGACATCCGGCATGTGAGACATCGATGCTATACTGGCCACATTGACAATGCTTCGGTCACCAGGGTTCGCCGATGAAGATTCCTTCATAGCCCGGACTTGTGCTCGGGTGGAATAAAGTACACCGTCCAGGTTTACCTGAAATACCTTCTTCCATTGCTGATCGTCCTCTTCCAGGATGGTAGGAGCCTGCCGCAAACCGGCACCTTGAGCAATCCCTGCAATGTTGGCTGCTCCATGAAGGTCTCCAAACGTGGTAATAATGTCTCTTATCCATTCATCAACATTTGATGGGGACGATACATCTAGGACTGTGCAGTGGACCTTTGTGTCTGGGTTGATGTCTTTAATATCTTTCTCCAGTTGTTTCATGTTTTCACTAGAGAGGTCCCCAACACAGAGAGCAGCTGCTCCTCGCTTCGCAAGTAGACGGCATGTTGCTGCCCCAATTCCGGATGCGCCGCCCGTAATAGCAAAGATTTTTGAGGTGACAGATGCCATAATTTTGCGTGGTAAAGGGGGCTTGAAGTAAATTCAATCGGTGCGTTGAAAGTATATCACAGGCAGAGTTGATTTTCTTTCCCGGAGCTCTCTAAAATGCTTCGCAATTCCCACAGTAAAGTACAATCCGCAGCTAGCAGTGAATCATAGTAGTTTGATAGAATTGAATACAGGCAAGAATTGAGTATAGTTCTTCACTCGCACCCGTATTTATACCCACTGCTGTTTCTAATATATGATGCAAACTTTTCTTAGTTTGGCTTTTGATGTTACCAATGTCTTCCGTATTGGATATTATTTCCGCTTACATGAAGCTGATAAGCTGATAAATCAAGATCTAATAATCTTCCCTCTTTTCAAACATACAAGCTTACATACATGGTACAACGTTGTTTGAATTATAAGATCAAAGCATTTCATACCTGTATATATGTGTAAGAAAATGAAATGTGATAAGAGATATTATGCGCTAGGGTGGATATTGTATCCGAACCAAATTTGAGTGAATATCCCTGGATGACACATGTAATAAGGTTGTGGAGTTAAGACTAAAACGGAGTGGATGAAGTTGGCTGTTTATCCGTATTTAAATCTAGAAAAAGGCACAATACAGCAGAACAAAGATAGTCAAGAAACTCCCACTTCACTGTACCTGACCAAAGACAGAAGAACGGAGAGAGAGAGAACAGAATCCATCATGGGAAGCATTAATCCCCCTCAGATCCTCGACATCCGTCGAAGCAAATTTGAAGAGTCTATCCCAAAACAAGTTGAGGCAGGACTGTTATCTAGCCCAAAGACCCTTCCGGCACTTCTTTTCTATAGCACCGAAGGAATACAACATTGGAATCGCCATTCCCATGCGTCTGATTTTTATCCCAGACATGAAGAAATCCAAATTTTAAAAGACAAGGCCACAGATATGGCGGCATCGATTGCAGATGGGAGTGTTGTTGTTGACCTCGGAAGCGCGTAAGATTCTATATTTTGCCCCCCCCCCCCCCCCCCCCCCCCCCCCCCAGATTTCAGTGTTGCCAACTAAATCATGGGGTAATTACAGGAGCCTGGACAAAGTCATACACCTTCTGGAGGCCCTGGAAGCTGCTCGGAAGAAAGTCACCTACTATGCGCTGGATTTGAGCTTTTCAGAGCTCACCTCGACCTTACAAACCATACCGACCGATCAATTTGTTCATGTACAGTTCTCTGCCCTTCATGGCACATTTGATGATGGCCTCCAGTGGCTAAAAGAAACCCCTGTTATCCGGGACCAACCACACTGCCTTTTGCTGTTTGGATTAACAATCGGAAATTTTTCCCGCCCAAACGCCGCAAAATTTTTGCATAATATTGCCTCTCACGCTCTTGTCGGGTCTCCTTCACAGAGCTCCATTCTACTCACACTAGATAGCTGCAAGGTCCCTACCAAAGTTATCCGGGCCTACACAGCAGAGGGTGTCGTTCCGTTCGCATTGGAGTCACTCAAGTATGGCAACACTCTCTTCCACCAGAATGTTGGGGAAAACGTCTTCGATCCTGAGGATTGGTATTTCCTCAGTGAGTGGAATTACGTTCTTGGAAGACATGAAGCATCATTGGTCCCTCGATCAAAAGACATCAAGCTCGGGCGGCCTCTGGACAAAATTGTGGTAGGCAAACACGAGAAGGTTCGCTTTGGATGCAGTTACAAATTCGACTCTGAGGAACGGAAGGAGCTCTTTGAGACTGCTGGGTTACGCGATGTGAAGTCGTGGTCGAAGGAAGGCTGTGATGTGGCATTCTACCAGTTGAAATGTTGTCCAAACTAACAAGGACCAACTCCAATTTTTGGTTTATTTGTGGGTCTGGAGATAGTTAACTAGTTAGTTATTGAGCAGTTAGTTTACTAACCTTGTATTTTTTGTGTCACAAAAGTTTGTTTGTTTTAAGCACCATCCCGAAACCTAAAATTTAACTTTAAATGCGAGCCTATTATAACTTGTTCAGTAACTTTGCTACCCCAAAAAATGGTAAATAGTACAAGCCTTCAGTCAGATTTCAAACATGGGTTCGGCTAGAGAAGGGGAAAAGGCACATTAGGCGTCATGGCCAGCTGAAGGATACTGTATTTACGCACTGTGACGAAACATCCACAAACGTCTTTACTCTCGAGCTTAAGAGAAGCGTCTAGCATTCTGCAAAACTGGATGAAGTGAAACAGCCCAGGGAGATACTCGGCATATCATTCAGGCAACCAAAGTTACTTTAAAATAAGGTTTAGTCATTGGACAATAGCTCATGCATGGAGTAAACAAAGCTGTTCTAACGGCGAGTTACCTCCAGAGCGTTATCTGCTCCAAATAGAAGTAGTAAAAGAAATAATCCTCGTCACTTTCTGGTGCAGTGCATTCCGACTCTTCCGACACATACCTTCAGAGTCCCATCTCTCGCTACCAACACCAAGCTTGCTGAAAAAAAGATCATCAGAATCCCATTTCTTCTTGATGTCAGATAGACGCCCATAATTCGGTCCCCAATAGATTTGTTGGAAGTCCTTTTCATTAGGATCTCCGACGTTGCGGTACGACAGCTTAAAATTAGGATCGAGCGCGTATAACATAGGCATTTGGGTGTTGGTTAATCTCTCGCGAGCTCTTGCCCTGCCTTCAATTGACGGTTCGACTGTGTGTACGTAATTAAGGAGTTGCGACGCCGACCGCCAAGCAGGGTGCATAGACGTTTCTGCCCGTTCTCCATTACGAATAACACGGCCACCGAGATTACTGGTAAAGATAAGGTCACCAGCAGACACGGGGAGGTTTGCAAGGGCATTTGCAACTTTCTCCGGCCCTTGGAGGGAGTCGAAAAGTTGTTGGGAAATCGCGACAGTAGATCCAAGGACGCCATAATCGTTGTCAGAGTGAATATCTGGGACCTGTCTGTAATTGGAACTGAAGTGCGGTAAGCTCTTGGATGAATATGTGTATTTGACGTTGGCGCGGCTGAGTTTGGTGAGGAATGATTTCATGTGACGATCGATGCTGGCCGTCTCAGTTGCGTCAAGAAAAAAAAACTTGATGCTTGCTTGAACTGCAAGCTTGGGCAGGACTGCAATAACTAGTTGCCCACCGACATTATCGCGGTTAAGCGACTGTAAAGCAGTAAGGACTATTGACAGTCCCTGGGTCCATGATGACGAGATGGCTTGGGGAGCTTCAAGAAGGATCTCAGATATCACAACGGGAACATCCGGAAAGACACGCATGGTGGCTCGAGTGACAACACCAAATGTCCCGCCTCCACCGCCACGGAGAGCCCAAAAAAGGTCTTGGTTTTGGAGTGCATTAGCAACTACAAGCTCTCCCTAAAATGAAAGATTAGCTGGGATGGGCAGTAAGAATAATTCAGGCACTTACATCTGCTGTAACAACCTCATACTCGAGCACGTTGTCAACACCAAAACCTTGGTTTAGACTGAGAAAGTCAGAAATCCCACCTCCCTGGAGGAAACCTCCAACTACCCCGACTGTCGGGCAGTCACCGCCAAGCACCATGTAACCATGACGAGCAGCTTGAGCGTATAAATTCCCCATCATTACGCCTGCACCAACAGTCACTGCTGGTCCAAGGGATGTATTTGACCCATCAAGTCGCATATCGACATGGAATTGAATCTCCTGTAAGCGATGAGTATGAATTTGAAAGGAGTCCGGGGCACTTGATCTCCCCGCTAGATCATGTCCAGTATTACGAATGACAAGGCGAAGGTTGTACCTCCTTGCAAACCGAACTGCCTCTTGGACCTGCTTGGTGGACTCCACTCCAACCGTAAAATGAGGGATGCGGCCTTGGTGACAAGAATTTACAGCAGAGGCCGTCCGCAACGACCCCACTGGGCAGCTCTCGTTGGCTGTTTCACCAGCCTCCCACACCCAATCCTGCAGCAAACCTGTGAGCATCATTAATATTAGTCGAAAACAGTAAAAGGTGCTGTCGAATAGCCGGAGCTCCACGTACCTGGATTGGAAGCCCTCCAACCGCTATCCCTTGATAATAGTAGGATGTTATCGCAGGCGCTCTTGTTGAAACTTGGCCCATAGCAAACATGCGCCGCTGGTCTCAAACGCTGAAGCTTCCCGTCAACTGAAGTGTTGAATGAGTTCCAGAGTTCCTCGGACGGCCAGCACGATTCCCATGGCCGGCACCGACAAGAAGCCGGCTGCGTCTCCTGCGTGTAAATTAGCCAGCTCAGAAGAGCGACCAACCCAGTTGACCAGAGTAGAAATTGCATCATGCAAGTTTAGACAGTGCTTAAAAATGGTAATCCAAATTGTGGCACAGATGTTAAATAAACAAGCGGAGAGATCCTTGGATGAGCAAAGCGGAATTCTTCCTTTAGGATTGTCACGTCGCTCCTCTAAATACCATAATTAGTGGTCATACAAGATAACACATTGGGCTTACAAGTCAATGATCCATTTTTAAGTTACTCCGCCTGGTAATGAATTGGCCGGACTGCAGCATCCAAATATTGGGAGAAAGCATGCATGCATTGCTTCGGTCGATCTAGAGCTCCTTATCGGCCTCAAAATCTTTCTGAGAGGTTTCGTGTACCACTAGGATGAAAGACACAAGCGGCCCGAAGCTAAAACAGAGGAAAGAAGGGAAAAAAAGTAAATAAAGTCCAGACAGGGATGAGAGTGAGAGCGTGTTGCATGAGAAATATGTATGCATCCCACCTCTAATACGCCCTATGGTTATTGATAATATGGCGATGAAATTTGAAAAGACGAAGGGCATACCGGAACATTTCTTTTGGTATCAGGCCTGCTCGAAGGTTTGTAAGTAATGCGTAAGATGCACTAACTTGAACCATACAACTCTTGCCAGCCCTGTGGTTGGGTGATCTTCAGAGTTCTAAGGATGAAGTTCTATGCAGAAGTTGGTCTAAATTTTGCACCCAACTATCGATTGTGGTCCTGTCCCAGGCTATAATTATCTCAGAGTGACCAGGTCTCTCCAGTAGACACTCATCTTCAGCATCATTTTCACTGTTGAGACGTCCCAAGTCTAGTTCAACACAATCGCAATGGGCTCTATCGAAATCCCTAACTGCTCCGGCTCGATCGTCTACAAGACGATATCCGACTTTATCGATTTCCCCAACCATGAACAGAAGCTATGGTGGCATAGCACGGCACCAATGTTTGCTGAGATGCTCAGGGTTGCCGGATATGACCTTCACTCTCAGTACAAAATTTTGGGTATTTTCCTCAACCACGTCATCCCATTCCTAGGAGTCTACCCAACACGGATAAACAACCGATGGCTGAGCATTCTAACTCGATATGGAACCCCGTTCGAGCTGAGCTTAAACTGCTCACAGTCACTGGTACGATATACCTACGAACCAATCAACTCAGCGACTGGCACAGTTAAGGATCCTTTTAACACTCATTCCATATGGGATGCCCTCGACCGGTTGATGCCACTGCAGAAGGGTATTGATCTTGAATTTTTCAAGCATCTGAAGCAGGATCTCACAGTCGATGACCAGGACTCAGCTTATCTTTTGGAAAACAACCTTGTTGGAGGCCAGATCCGAACCCAGAACAAGCTGGCCCTTGACCTGAAAGGGGGAAACTTTGTGTTGAAGACATACATCTACCCTGCTCTCAAGGCTCTTGCCACTGGAAAATCGATCAAGACCTTAATGTTTGACTCTGTTTATCGTCTGTGCAGACAGAACCCATCCCTGGAAGCTCCTCTACGCGCTCTTGAGGAGTATGTTGATTCCAAGGGCCCTAACAGCACCGCATCTCCCCGGTTGCTTTCTTGCGACCTAATTGATCCTAGCAAGTCCCGTGTCAAGATCTATATATTGGAACTGAACGTTACGTTGGAAGCAATGGAGGATTTGTGGACGATGGGAGGCCGACTGAACGATGCGTCGACCCTAGCAGGACTCGAGATGCTGCGAGA